GGCTTTGCTGGGAGCGCTGCTGCCCCCTGCCGGTCCCCGGCCGCACCAGCCGGCTGCTGGCTCTCATGAACATTTTACTAAAAAGGTTTCCGAGGTCAATATTCTATTGATTATCTTGCCAATTCTTTGTGCAATTTTTTGTTTTTTAAATAGTTGGGAATATATTTGTTTGAAACCGGATCTCTCTAGGTCCCTCCTGGCCTAGAACTCCAAATATAGACCAGGCTGGCATTCAGTTCACAGAAACTTCTGCTGGGATTAAAGGTGTGGGCCATATCTACCCGTTTTTGTTGTGATTTCCTGTTTTAAATTTATTTTCCTCTGTGTGTGGCTGTATGTTTGTGTTTGTATCTGTGTGTAGGCTTGCTTGTACATGTGCACTAGCCTGACTATGACATTCCAGGGATACTCAGGTTTCTGCCTCCCACCACACTGGCCTATGCCTAGGACTATGCTTCTGGAATTTATATGATTTCTTTTATTTGGGTTCTCAAGGCTGTGCAGTTAAGTTTTTTAACCATGGAGCCGTCTGTCTTCCCAAACCTGTTTTAGCTTTTGAATTTCATTTTATGTTTTATTTGTGTGTGTGTGTGCTCGTGTGCAAGCACATGCATGTGAAATGGGGGACACAGAAAGCCATGGCACATATGTGGACGTCAGAGAACAGTGTTCTAGAGTCAGTTCCCTCTTCTGCTTGTATATGAGTTCCATGGTCCTGTAGGTCAAACTCAGGGTGAGCTCTGGTACCTGCTAAGCCATCTCTGGCCTCCTTTTATTTTGTTTGTTGGGTTTTTTTTTGTTTTTTTTTTTTTTGTTTGTTTGTTTTTTCAAGACAGGGTTTCTCTGTGTAGCCCTGGCTGTCCTGGAACTCACTCTGTAGACCAGGCTGGCCTCGAACTCAGAAATCCACCTGCCTCTGCCTCCCAAGTGCTGGGATTAAAGGCGTGCGCCACCACCGCCCAGCTCAGAGCTTTCTCTTTATTTGAACTTTGTTTCTGGTCCAGTACGACCCTCTCTCAATTCCCCACTGTTTTTCTCTCTGGGACTCTGCTTCTATACACCAACCTGTTTCTTCTGTCTTTGACCTGGTGGCACTGCAGGGCCACTAAATTAAGGACAGGCCCTATTGTTTCCTCATCTGGCTGAGAGAAGGATGGGCAGAAAGAGAGCTCACAGGCAGGAAAAAGGTTTTTTCTTCCTCTTCTTTTTTTTTTTTTTTAAAGATTTACTTATTTATTTTATGTATATGAGTACACCATTGCTCTCTTCAGACACACTGGAAGAGGCCATTAGACTCCATTGAAGATGGTTGTGAGCCAGCATGTGGTTGTTGGGAATTGAACTCAGGACCTCTGGAAGAGCAGTCAGTGCTTTTAACCGCTGAGCCATCCCTCCAGCCCAGGGAGAGGCTCTCAAGACAAGCATGGAGCCTCTTAGTTGAGCGGCCTGTAACGGCTGACCCTGGTTGTCCACTCGACTATATCTGGAATGAACTACTATCCAGAATTGGAAGGCTCACCTGTGACCCAGATCTTAAGGCTGGGAGACACAAGTTTCTGATCTGGATCTTGAGGCATAGTGGCCATGAATCCCAGGAAACTAAGGAATGATCTCTGAGTTCAAGGTCAGCTGGGACAAAACAAGTCCCAGATCCAGGCATGGTGGTACATACCTTCTGCTGGAGACCTACATAAGGACTTTAAAAGATTCTTCCTTTGACTGCTTGCACTTACTTGCCAGCACATCTGTTGGAACCTACTTCTATAGAAGACCAGCTTAAACACCTAGCCTTGTGGGACTGAGCAACTACTAGATCTTTGGACTTCCCATTCATAGCTGACCATTGTTGAGCAGTTGGACTACAGACTGTAAGTCATCAACAAATTCCCTTACTATATAGAGACTATCCATAAGTTCTGTGAACTCTAGAACTTGATTAGTTCTTAAGAACTAATACAGGTCTAAGTTCATGTTTCTGCCAGGTAGAGAAAATGAGCATCTCTAGGACATAGGTGTGCCCTGACCTTGAGTCCAGTTCCTCAGTCCCCAGAAGGCAGGAGGATGCCCTGCACACACTCCTGTCTCTACTGCTCCCCCTGTGGCTTAGGAAATAAGATTTGGTATCTGACTTTATCTGTTGTTGCTCTTTTTCAAAGATTCATCTCTTTTTTTTGTTTTGTTTGTTTGTTTGTTTGTTTGTTTGTTTGAGACAGGGTTTCTCTGTAGTCCTGGCTGTCTTGGAACTCACTCTGTAGACCAGGCTGGCCTCGAACTCAGAAATCCACCTGCCTCTGCCTCCCAAGGTATTAAAGGCGTGCGCCACCACTGCCCGGCAAGATTCATCTTTTAAAAAGATTTATTTTTCTTAGTTTTTTTTTGTCTTGTTTGGTTTTTTTGAGACAGGGTTTCTCTGTGTAGTCCTGGCTGTCCTGGAATTCACTCTGTATGTAGACCAGGCTGGCCTCGAACTCAGAAATCCACCTGCCTCTGCCTCCCAAGTGCTGGGATTAGAGGCGTGTGCCACCACCGCCCAGCTTTTTTTTTAGTTTTTAATTTTTATTTTATGCATTATGGGTGTTTTGCCTGTATGTATGTCTGTGCACCACATGTACAGTGCCTGAGGGGACCAGAATTGGATATCAGATCCTGTGTAGCTGGAATTATAGACCACTGTGAGCTGTCTGACTTAGGTGCTGGAAACGAAACCTAGGTCTTTTGAAAAACAAACAAACAAACAAACAAAAAAACAAGCATCTTTAAACCACTGAGCCACCTGTCCAACCCTTCAAAGTTTGTTTCTCTTCTTCTTCTTCCTCCTCTTCCTTTTCCTGTTCAGTCAGGGTCTCACTGTGTAGCCTTGGCTGCTATAAAGACCAGGTTGGCCTAGAACTCATAGAGATTCATATGTGTCTGCTTTCCCAGTAGTGGGATGAAAGGTGCATGTCTCACCAAGCCTGCCAAAGCGTCAGCTTTTCACCCAGAACTGTTCTTGAGCTGGTACCTTTTGCTTTGTTCATCTGTCTGTACAGGGGTGAACCTGAGTCACCTGGGTGTTTGTTCAGGCATCTGGGTGTTGTCCTAAGAGGAGGCAGGGCCCAGATATGTGGAGTTTGAAAACAAACAAACAAAACTTCAGGGAATTCCAGTCTCCTAACACTGACCTAACATTAACAGTGGCTTACTCTGCATGAGATACCACTGTCAGACTCTGTAACTACACACCGGTAATTCACAAGCCCCAAGTGTCTGTGTTCAGTCTTGTATAAAAAGTTGTTCCTCTTCACTATTCACTTACCAGTATCTGTCTGTAGCTGGCCATAGTGACCCTTTAGACAGCATTCAGCCCTGTCCTGTTAAAGTCATTTATAATTGTATTCCTTCATCCAGTAACCCACACTGACTGAAAAGGATCAGTGACTGGAGGCTGGAGAGATGGCTCAGCTGGTAAGCCCAGTGTATTGTTCTTGCGGAGAACTAGAGTTCAATTCCCAGCACCTACTAATACCTAACAGTTGTAACTCCAGTTCCAGGGGATCAGAGGTCGCCCTCTTCTGGCCTATACAGGCACTACATGCACCTTTTACCAAAAAAGTTCACTTTGGTCTTTTAATTTTTTTCCCTGATATTCAAACAATAATTATTTACTACAGAGAATTTGGATGTAGCTGGGCAGAGTTTCACATGCTTGTATGTAATTCCAGCACTTCTGGAGATTGGAGGCAGGAGGATCAAAAATTCAAGATCGGCCGGCAGTGCGGTGGTAACACATGGCTTTAATTCCAGCAGAGGCAGGAGTTCCAGGACAGCCTGGGCTATACAGAAAAACCGTCTCAAAAATAACAAAACAAAACAAAAAATAAAAAACAAAAAAACCCAACCCAACCAACCCAAAACCAAAACGAAACCAAACCAAAAACCAAACATATAAAACCTGTTAGTCTCCAAAGCATGGATCTCGGAAAAAAACCACAAAACAAGAAACCAAACCAAACCATGCATAAATAAAGGTTGTAGATGTGCGTGTGCGTGCGTGTGTGCCTGTTGGTGTGAGTGTAGCGCAGGACAGTTTGGTAATCAGATGTGACATCCCAGTAACAACAACCCTAAGGACCAGCACGTGGAAGAGACTCCCGATGCCGCTGCCCCCCAGAAAGCCCCAGGCACCTACTAACTCCACCGCCTTTTTTGAGTGTCCGTGTGTCAGTCTAATCCTAGTGACCAATCGGAGGAGAGAAGAGGCCACTTCTACACTGCAACCACACTAGGGGGCGGGGCTAAAAGCGGGAGAGGCGGAGTCGACGTGGTCACGTAGTTCACCCCATTGGCCAAGGGCCACGACTGCGCGGAGTGATCTGGAGACGCTCATTGGTCAGAGCTGTGTCGGGCGGACCAAGGCCATGCCTCTCTCACGCTCCCAGCCGCTTTGTTTGGTTGTGTTACCGCCTGGAAAGGAGACGCTGCCCTTCCCCAGCGATGGGATCCCGGGTGAGTGACGGTCACTGCGCGGGTGACCACTTCAGCAGGGCTAGGAGCGAGCCGGCCTGGCCCACGCCGGGATCCGCTACCCAACCAGATCGCGAAGGTGTCCAAAGTGGCGTGAGTGGATCCCCTGGACCAGGCGGCGCGAGAGGATGCATGGCTCCGTGGGTGGAACGAGAAGGGAGCTAGGTCAGAGAGGAGACTCCCTGGCCTGGAACGCTGAGGGCATCTAAGTAGGGTCGCGGGTGACCCCCAGCCTGGAAGGAGCAGGCGTGCGGCTGTGGGCAGCGCTGTATGTGGACGGATGTCAAGGATGCCCTAGGGAGGCCGGGGCTAGAGAAGGAAGGTCCCTGCCTAGGCTCTGCAAGGAGCAGATACTGAAGCTTGGAATATTGCTGATGTTCACTGTGGGGTTGCCCAATGCCAGGCTGCGTAGGATCCCACAGAGATGTTCTGGGATGGGAAAAACAGGACATGAGGCAGAGTGAGCCCTAGGTCTCTCTGGTTCTGGGAACACAGGCTAGGTCACGGTGGGACGAAAGAATGCTCACGCCAATTAGTAGGGTTGTCTTGCACAAGAGAGGAGGGTCTAGATTGGAAAGGCAGGCTATCAGGCCTAGGGTGCCACGGTGGAGGAGCACATAACCTACCTGCTCAGTAATGTGGAGCAGGATTAGTGGCCAGCATTAGAATCGAGAGACAGGTAGGATATGATGTCAGGCTTGGACCCTTGCTTTCTGTGAAGTGACCTTTCTCTTGGACACAGACTCACCTGCATACAGATAACATGTCTCAATCCCCACCTCCTCTTAGCCTGGGTCCTAGAGTAGGCTCACTTCTAATAACATGTAGCCTTCACAGACGTTCAAGGGCCTTGGGTATGATACAAGCAAGCAGCAGGCAATGGCTAGGGTGCTCCACACAACCTCGGTGCCTCATCTCGCAAAGCCTCAGTTTTCATATCCTTGTGGTAAATGATGTTTACCTCGAGTGCTCCAAGAAGGACTCCACTCGAGAGTCCTCACAGAGAGCTGGTGCGATGGCCTGTTGAAATGCACGGGGACGTGTATCTCCTGCTATCCGATGTCCTTGTCTCTCATCCAGCGGCCTGCCAGGCTGCAGGCTTCCAGGAGGACTGTACATATCATAGCCCACCTCACAACCTCTAGGCAAACATGTCTCCTGCCCTTTACAGTGTGGTAATTTCTTTAGCCCTTGAACCTCACTCTGCCTGCCAGCCTCTTGCCCTCTCTCTGCCCCCCACAGCCCTAGGGCTAGTCTGATAGGGCTGTTTGCCTTGCCCCACTCACCAAGGATAGTCTGTTCCTTGTTCATTTCTTCTGCTGGCCTAGTGACTTTTGGCCATCATCCTGGAGAGACAGGGTCTGTCCTGTCTTGTGTGTTCTTTCCTCCAAAGGTCCCAGAAAGCATCCGTGAACTTGAACAAGACCCCTGCAGGGTCTCGGGTCCCAGTTATATGTGATCAGACCTCTGAGTTGGCCTGGGGTCCCAGTTATATGTGATTAGCCCTCTGATCTGGCCTTGGGTCTTGGTGGGTCTTGGGCTTTCTTTTCCCTCTGTGCCTCTGTTGGGGTGGGCTGCCTGCTCCTGCTGTGTTAAGCAGAATCCAGAGCCCAGTAGACCTTGGGAGTATCCTCTCTTCACCCCTTAGCAACTGAGTTATTTTTGGACTCCTGGGTTAGGCTGGACAAAACTCAGTTTCTTCATGAGAAGGTGGAGAGAGGCAGACAGAAACATCTGTCTGAATAGCTGTCATGATTTGATAGGTTCGTAGCAGTAAACTCAACACATGGGAGACAAAAAGCAAGAGAAGTGTCTAGAATTCAAGGCCAGCATGTGCTACAGTATATGACTCTGTCTCAAAAACAAATTTAAGTCAAAACAAAACAAGCTACAATAAAAAATGCACCACCACCACAAGATCAACACAAGCATTTAGGCTACAGGAAGTGAAGCATTCCTGTCTCTGTGAAAAGGATGTCATGGTTCTCAGTCTGGGGCCTGAGATCTTTATTTAGAAAATGGCCAGTGTTTTTAAAAAAGACTGAGAAAGTGCAGAAGGCCCTGAGTTAGAGGGTGACCTATTTATCTCCTAGTCTTGGGGTGCTTTCTGCAGCTGGCCTGCCATGCATGCCTCCCTTTGCTCCCAGGCTTATAGAGGCAGTCTGTGGGATATCTGACTGCTTGCTTGCCTGTGGGGGCAGAGGACTGGGGCCTGGAGTTCCTGATACACACTTGCTGTTCATTCAGCCACTGGAGGCACTGGTTCCTCCCGTCACACACACATACTGCTGCATGCTAGACAAGTGCTTTTTAAAAATTTGAGACAGGGTCTGCCTAAATTGCCCAGTCATTCTTTGAGCTTTTAATCCTCCTGCCTCAGTGTCCTGAGCAGCTGGGATCACAAGCCTGAAGTGTCCTGAGGTGCCCAACCTCTGAGGACACTCTTGTTTATATTTCTGTGTTCTGACAGGTACACTCTTCTTTTAAAAAATTCCTGGGGATGAGCGCATGTGCATGTCTGTGCAGCATGGGTGCCTGGTGCCTTCACAGGCCAGAAGAGGGCGTCTGATCCCCCTCAGCTGGAGTTAACAGACAGTTGTGAGCCAGTGTTTGGGTGCTGGGAATTGAATCTGGGCCTTCTGGAAGAATAGCCAGTGCTTTTAACTGCTGAGCTAACTTTTTTTTTTTTTTTTTTTTTGGTTTTTCAAAACAGGGTTTCTCTGTGTAGCCCTGGCTGTCCTGGAACTCACTCTGTAGACCAGGCTGGCCTCGAACTCAGAAATCCCCCTGCCTCTGCCTCCCAAGTGCTGGGATTAAAGGCGTGTGCCACCACCGCCCGGCCCCCGACCTTCTTTAAAACATTCTTTTTACTGGAAAGATGGCTCAGTGTTTAAGCATGCTTGCTTCTGTTCCAGAGGACCCAAGTTCAGTTCTCAGCACCTACATCAAGCAGTTCACAACTTCCCGTGATCCCAGGTCCAGGGTCTCCCATACCTGCTTCTGACCTCGGCAGGTATCTGAGCATATGGTGTACACACATACATAAGTAGAGTGCATCGTTTGTGTATGTGGGTGCAGGAGCACCTGCCACAGGCATGTGTGGAGGCCAGAGAATGGGTTTTGGGAGTCAATTTTCTCCTTCCATATCTAGTTTCATTTCTGTTGCTATGATAAAACACCCCAGCAAAAGCAACTTTTTGTTTTGCCTCATGGTCCCAGGTAACAGTCCATCATTGTGGGGAAGTCACAATGACAGGATCTCATGACAGCTGTTCATATTACATTCAGTCAGAAGGCAAAGAGCAAAGAATGCATGTATGCTTTTACACAGTACATGGTCCTAGCCTAAGGAATGGTGCCACCAACTGTGGATGGGTCTTCTCACCTTTAGTAACATACTTCATTCCTCATGGACATGCTCAGAGACGCATCACATTCAACCTTGGATCCTGGGGAACTCGGTTGTTAGGCCTGCTCAGCAGGTTCTTTGCTTACCTTATCTCACGGCCACAAAGCTTGTTGGCAGGACTGGGTATTGAACGTAGGGAAGTGAGCGTCTACACTCATTCCCTGTATGCACCTTCCACTCACTTGGGTCATCTGTCTGTCAGCTTTGTGGAAGGACCTGTTATGTGTGCCCCTGTCCTGCTGGGGAGTGGATGGTACCCAGGACTCAGCCAGAGACCAGCTGAAGACGTTCTTCTTGGAAGCTCTCACCCCAGAAGGTCCCATCTCGGGTGCTGGGCCTACCATGGCATTCCGTAGGACTGAGGGTATGTCCATGATCCAGGCTCTGGCCATGACTGTGGCTGAGATACCAGTGTTCCTGTACACGACTTTTGGTCAGGTAAGATGGGTGTGGTCCTCTCCAGGAGTCCTCAGTGCCTGAGGGAGCTGAGTCCTTGTCAAGGCTGTGTGGCTTAGTTAATTTCTTACTGTGCTATTTTAATTCCGTGTGTCTTAGTTAATTTCTCATTGCTGTGTTGAAAGACCAAAGCAACTTAAGGGAGAAGGAGGTTATTTGGGCTCAGGGTTTGAGTGCATTACAGTTCCTTGTGTGGAAGGCATGGCCGAAGAGGTGGGAAGCTGGTCACACAGCATCTGTACTCAGGAGATGGGATGACGGACGGGTACCAGTGCTCAGTTCACTTTCTCCATTTTACACAGGGCATCTTGCCCTGCCTGGTAGTGGTCCACTCCACAAATCAGATTATCCACCAAATGACTTGAGATCCCTCACAGACATTCTTAGAGGCTAGCATCATGATAGGTAATTCTTCACAGATATGTCAGGAGGCTTGCCTCTTAGGAGACTCTAGTTCTATCAGGTTAGCAGTCAACACTAGCTGTCTAGTTTCTTTTCTCTGAGTAAATCGAGATTACATTAAAAATTGGGGCCCTAAACCCAGTGCTTACCCAGAGGCTAGGTGACCTCTTGACTTTAGTTGTCTCTAAGTCCCCTGACACTCCCTAAAGCTCTCTTTTGTGGGACAGAAGTCCACCTGGGCCAGCAGCAGAGGGAGGCCAGGATGAGCCTGTTTGGATGGGTAGTCGCTGTAGTGAATGGCGTTGGGAGATGGAGTCATCAGGGTTTGAGCTGTATGTCGGTCACTGCCTGCACACGTCTGCACACTGATGTGAACCTTAGGTTCCTCATTTGGCAGGGATTCTGACAGGTGACACAGGTCAAGCCCTGGTGTAGTGCATAGTCACAGAATGGTGACCAGCTGTGTGGGGGCACACTGGTCCCAGGATTCATCTCCTCTGTAACACGTGCTATCTTTATATTTCTGATTAACATTTCAGAGAGGGTGACTTGATTTACTCTTCAGTGCCCCTTGTCACCCCTTCAGCCAGCAGAGGAATACTGTGGCCACACTCAGAGAGCTTCCCTTTGGGCGACATAACCAGACCGCTTGTCTCTTTCCTCCAGTCCGCATTCTCCCAACTGCGGTTGACACCAGGCCTGAGGAAGGTTCTTTTTGCCACAGCCCTTGGGACTGTGGCCTTGGCCCTGGCAGCCCACCAGCTGAAAAGGCGCCGGCGGAAGAAGAAGCAGGCGGGCCCTGAGATGGGAGGTGAGCAGCTGGGCACGGTGCCCATGGCCATCCTCACGGCCCGCAAGCTCCCTTCGGTGAAGAAAGGTAGGTATGTGGTTGGGAACCTCTGACGTTTGTCACAGTTCTGCACTGTTCACTGTGGGTGCCTTCCCACCTCATAGCCAAGTTACCCTTGGTAGAGTTGACAGCAGAACCATTCCTTGAGACACTGGGCTCCCTGTGGTGGATGGCATTGGTCCCTGTGTCCTTGTCACTGTAGGCAATTTTCCCAAGAGCTCAGGAATAAAGACATGGAGTTCATAAGCCCAATGGTATTTCTCCATTCTCCTCTTTAGAGGAGGGAAAAGGGATTTGCGTGTGGTAAGATCCACCTTTTTAGTGTGTCCTGAACTTTGAGACAGTGCCATCACAGAACCGAGCCACTGTGGGAAAACTTTTTTTATTCAATTTATCTCGGAGTTTGTGTGTGACCAAAGGTGTGTAGGTGTGCCGTAGTGTACATGTGGGGGTCAGAGGACAAACTTGCATGCATAAGTTCTCTCCTTCCATGTGTGGGTTCCGGGGTCACACCGAGGCGCAGGCTCATCCTGCTAGCCCTAGAAAACCGCTTTCCTGGTAATCATGATTCATAGCCATTTGCTACAGGTCTATGTCACGATGCTCTCCATCAAGGCAGGGTGTTCTCATAGTTTCACGACTTGGGAAGACCAAGTTTTCTTAGAAAATAAATGTTTAAAGCCAGGTGTGATAGCGTGTGCCTATAATCCTAGCACTCAAGGCCACCGTGGGCTACACACTGAGACTTTGTCTTAAAAACAGAACTAATTAAGGAGAATGAGGTTTAAGGGTTGTTTTATGTATTTATTTATTGTATGTACTGTGCCATGATGTACATGAAGCGATCAGAGGACCTCTCTGATTCATGGGGAGTTGGGTCTCTCCTTCATCGAGGGTTGAACTCAGGTCCTTCGGCCTGGTAGCAAGTACCCTTACCTGCTGAGGCATCTGGAAAGGAGAATTCTTTATCAGTCACTCAATCAAGCACATAGGCAAACTGAGTAAGAGATAGGGAGGTGACCTGCCTTGCTCTTACCTTGTCCCAGCATTTGGGGCCCTCCTGTGGGCCTGGCCATGTGTTAAGTCAGTAGGCCAAGGAAAAGCCTTAGTCCTCTGCCAAGTGTACACACTGAGAGGAATCCGCTTAGGTCAGGACACACTTCCAGAAAGATAAGGATGGGAGGGAGGCTCAGTGGGAGGATGCATGTGGGACCCACCCTTCTCCTCACAGGCTGCTCCAGCCGGAGGGTTCAGAGCCCCAGCAGCAAGAGCAACGACACTCTGAGTGGCATCTCCTCCATTGAGCCCAGCAAACACTCGGGCTCCTCCCACAGCCTGGCCTCGGTAAGGAATTAGGGAGGGTACGTGTGGAGGCAGGTGCCACCAGGACTCTCTTGGACTCTGCCCTAAGGAAACTTCTGGGCCGTTAGGGAGATGAGAGATAGGCCCCTCATTCCTTCACAGCCTCACTCGTGGATTCGGGCTTTGCAGCCTACTGATGATGGTTGGGGGCACCAGCTGAAGACAGGTGTACAGGTGCCAGAGAGGGAGCCTACCAGCAGGCTCGTGCATCAGACATGGAGCAAGTGCCTGGGAGGTGTCAGGATGGGGCTGGGCTGAGGGTCTCGAGATGAAGGAGACAGAGGTGAGCTCTGTCTCCATGGAGCCCAGCCTGGTGTTCACTGACTCACTGTGAAAACATTGCTTGCCTCCACTCCAGCTCTTTTCTGGTGATAACTTTGCTCTTGAGTCTCCTGGAAAGGTGGAGGCCATCTTGTGATTGAGAGGTCCTGAAACAAGGTGGCAGCTGTCTGTCCTCCTTGACAGACTAGTAGAGCAGGGACTGGGCCCAGGGACATTTCACCTTGGGTATTGACCTCTGTGTTTCTTCATACTGAGGCAGTCTCTGTGGGGCATCATTGAGCTGCTCTGAGGATGTGGGGCCTGGCCTAGCTCCCTCGGAAGATATCCAGGAGAAATACCTGTGACCTGTGGTCACGCAGCTGGGGTGGGCTCAGAGGGTACCCACAAAGGATCTCACTGCTTTATTATCTGTGTACTTGGTCCCTAGATGGTAGTGGTCAATTCATCCAGCCCTACAGCTGTGTGCTCAGGTTCTTGGGAAACCAGAGGGATGGAAGAGACTATGCCCACCACTGATGGCAGTGCCGAGAGCCTCTATGTGCAAGGTTGGCTGGGAGTCTCCCCGAGGGCACTGGGCTAAGGTAACTGTGGCAGTGGGGAGTGGCCTTCTAGGAGTCTAGGCACAGCAGGTCACTTATTCAGGTACTGCCCCACCCCAGATCCCCATCAATACTCAGAAGACACATCCTGCTTAGATAAAAGCCTGCACACTGGCTGGCCTGAAAGAGGGCAAGACCCAGCTGTAGGGTCCTGCCCAGTTCTGACACTGCTGTGGCCCTCTCTGCCCCCCATGTTCATCCCCTTACGGCGAGCCTGTGGGACCTGAGCCTTTCTCCTCTCCTGTGTTCTCAGGCATGGAACTGTTTGAGGAAGCTCTACAGAAGTGGGAGCAGGCACTGAGTGTGGGTCAGAGAGCAGACGGAGGCAGCACCCCCACACCAGGGGACAGCCTCCAGAACCCAGACACCTCATCAGAAGCACTGTCAGAGGTAGGTGGTGTTCCCCAGTTTCTGCAAGGTTGGTCAGGTGGACGGCTGACCGAGTGTGCCCTCTCACAGGGCACTCACTGGGTTCCGTCCACTTAGAATGAGTATAATAGCTCCAGTAACGTGCTTGGTGCTGTCGCATTGGTGATGGCTTGCTGAGCAAGTCCCACTTTGATAAACACCCTTTAGGGGTGGGGGGTGGGAGATGGTGGGGGTGCTGATGCAGGACTGTAGGAGGTGGGCCTCTGTTCCGAATACACTGGATTCTGGGGCCTTTGGGTTTTGTTTATGGTTTTTTTTTTGGGGGGGGGAGAATACCACTCAAGCTTTTAATTATAATTTCATAATCTTATTTATTTGTAATATTTTTATTTACTTTTTAATGTATTTCCCTACATGAATGTCTGTATACCATGTTGGTGCCCACAGTCCACAAGAGGGTGTTGGATCCCCTAGAACTGGAGTTACAGGTGTGAGCCACCAAATGGGTGCTAGGAACCAAACCTGGGTCCTCTGGAAGAGCAGCCAGTACTCTTTTTTTTTTTTTGGTTTGGTTTTTCGAGACAGGGTTTCTCTGTGTAGCCCTGGCTGTCCTGGAACTCACTCTGTAGACCAGGTTAGCCTCGAACTCTCAAACTCAGAAATCCACCTGCCTCTGCCTCCCAAGTGCTGGGATTAAAGGCGTGCTCCACCACCGCCCGGCGCAGCCAGTACTCTTAACTCCTGAGCCACCTGTCCAGTTCCCTGTGTTGATATTCTTCCCAGTCATACTGAACAATCACCCTGGGTTGTTACAGTTCGCTCACATTATGCGGGTCAGTGGCTTTAGTGTATTTGGGGGATTGTGGCCGTCAACCTCGGCCATTTCATAACCCCTACACACCTTAATAGTCCCCTCAGGTTTCCCTCCCTCCTCCCCAGCCCTCTGCTCTGCTCTGATTTGCACTCCTATGCTGATCTTGCCTGTCCTGTGCTGCTGGCCCGTCTCTGTATATGTTGCTTTGGGGCAGGCGTAGCGCACATATGGAGGTGACCCTGTTGTGTGAGCCTGGGACGTGGTGAACTCAGACTTATTGGCAAGCACCTTTATCTGCTGAGCAATGTTGCTGACCCCCATCTGTGTATGTCCTTTGGAGAAATGTCTGTTCTGATCCTCCTGTCTTAGCCCCAACATGTGGGATTGCAAACATTTCGGTTTTTAGTTTTAATAATGGTGATGTTGAGTGTTTTTGCTTTGTTTTGAGACAGGGTCTCTCTACATATCCATGACTGCTGTCCTAGAGCTCATTCTGTGGATCATGCTGGCCTCGAACTCACTGAGATCCTCCTGCCTCTGTCTCCCAGGTGCTTGGTTTAAAGGCATGGAGTTTTTTGTTTTTGTTTTTTTCCACATTCTTTATGGCAGCCATTGAAACACACAGAGGACACTTTTAAGTTCTGGGTTGGAGGTGAAGCTTGCTTATCAGGCACCAGGCCCCTGGGTTCCACCCCCAGCACCACAGAAACAGGGATATGCCAGCAATCCAGTATGAGGGAGGTGCAAGCAAGAGGATCAGGAGTTTAAGGGGACAGCCTGGCGGTGGTGGCGCACCCCTTTCAGTCCCAGCACTCAGGAGGCAGAGGTAGATGGATCCCTGAGTTGGAGGCCAGCCTGGTCTATAGAATGAGTTTCAGGACAGCCAGAGCTACACAGAGAAACCCTGTCTCAAAAAAATACAACAAAACAGAAGTTTTAAGGTTACACAGTGTGGGGCCAGGCTAAATGAGACCCTGTCTCAAAACCGAATTTTTTTTTTTTTAATTCTGAAGTTTACTGAATTTGCTTTTCTTGAGTTTGTTGAGCTTCTGTGTTAAGTCCCTGCAGCCTTAACCACTCACAGCTATTTCCTAGAGCACTGACAGACATCCTCAGGAGCTGCCAGTCAGGTAGGAGCCCAGCAGAGTGCCCTGGCCCAGGTCTGGTTCAGGTCTCTGTCCTGCAATATTTTAGATAGACACTCTGGGACACTTCACCACCTTGAATTTTCTCTGTGGAATGTCCCCGTCCCAGAGAGAAGCTTTGAGGCTGAACTGCACGGTCCAGGGTGGGTCCTCAGTGATGGCTGCCTCTCACCTCTTCTGGTCCTTTCTCAAGCTTAGTTGGTCCTCATCTGTCTCCTCCCTGGGCTCTGGTTACTGTAGCAACAGGCTCTACTCTGGTTACCTCCCCCTCCATGGAGAGAGTAGTCAGTCTAACTCTTACCTTACCCTGGGACCCAAACCTAAGAGCTCCAGCGGGGAGAGAGCACCCACCACCCAATATCCCATGCTGGGGCTGGAGGTCAAGAATCACATAGGAGGCTGTGCCCCACATCAGCTCCTCCCTTCTTCCTCCAACTGAGACCTCCTGTGCCTCCTTGCAAGTACTCTCCCGCCACCTAGACCTTCCCAGGACAGCCTGTCCTTCGTTGTCCAGCTGGTCCCCTGCAGGGCTTGACACTCATGAGGTCGAATTACCCTTGCTTGGTAATACTCAGTAACAGCTACTACCATTTGCACCTGAGTCCCAGAAACCATCTTCACAAGAGGAAGCTTTTGAGTCCCTTCTATAGAGAAGGGCTTGGAGGAGGCCACCATGAAGGGTTTGCTCAGGTACACAGAATCTGTACTAGGGGGACTTCAGGAAAAGTCTTGAGTCACTTAGAGACACAATGTTTTCTAGGAAATATGTTCAGCCAGCCAGCCAATAAAAAAAGGGAGGAGAGGAGCCAGGGATGCTTGCCTAGCATGCAGGAGGCCCTGAGCGCACGCAGGGGGCCCTGAGTTTAGTCTCCAGCACCGTGTAAAAGCAGGTGTAGTGCCGCACAACTGTGATCCTAGGGTTGGCAGGTCGAGGTAGGAGGGTCAGGAGTTCAAAGTCATCTTTGGCTAGATAATGAGTTTGAGGACAGCCTAGGTGCTATCTCAGGGTGGAAGAAGCAAGAAAAGTGGATGAGATCAACTTGTCTTATTTTTATTATTATTATTTTGTCTTTGTTTTTGGGGGGTTTCTCTGTGCAGCCCTGGCTGTCCTGGAACTCCCTCTGTAGAACAGACTGTCTTCAAACTCCTGCCTCTGCCATCTGAGTTCTGAGATTAAAGGCCTGCGCTGCTTCCACCCAGTCTCTTTTTCTTTTGAGACAGGGTCTTTCTTCCTGTGTAGTCCTGGCTGCCTGGAACTCACTCCTCACTGCATGTCCCACGCTAGTCTCAAACTGAGGTTCTCCTGTAGGGATCCTGGGTTACAGGTGTGCGCCATGATGCCCTTCCGCCGAGATACTCTGCATGTGTTTCTGGCATCACAGTGTGTGTATTTACAGTACGTGTGGCCAGTGCTTCCTGTACTGGCACGGGCAGTACATGGGCAGCACAAGTCTAGAGTTCTTTTGGACCCTGAGCCGGCTCTGTTTCCTTGAGGCCCTACCTGAAGGGGAGCTTGGCAGTTCTGGGTTAAAGGTCATTGCTTTTGTCATAGCCAGAGTCACAACGAAGGGAGTTTGCTGAGAAGCTGGAGTCCCTGTTGCACCGGGCCTACCACCTGCAGGAAGAGTTCGGTTCCACCTTCCCCTCTGACAGCATGCTGCTGGACCTTGGTGAGCAAGAGCATAGGCTGCTGTGGGCCTGAAATGCCAGGGACGCAGTAGGGGGACAAGTCCAGAGTGCCAGGGCATGGTTTCCCAATCAAAGCTGGAACAAATAGGGAAACTGAGGTATTCCCTTAAACATGGTAGACAGACACTGAAGCAAGATGAGGCTCGGAGTCCATAGTTAGCGTGTTTTGCCCTGGCCTCTTGGGAACTCCTTTGAGCTAAGTGCCTGCGTCTCCTGGACAGGTCTGCAGGCCTTTGGGTTCACAGGGCAGTTACCCAAAGGCAGGCCAAGTGGATCAAAGAGTTCTTTACCTCCATGAGGTAAAGAAATGTGGGCCCAGAGGGAGCCAGCTTGCTCAGCCCGTTGTCCAGTGTCCTCATGCCTGCCATGTGTCTAGCCTTTCCCAGGGTGAACTGTGGGAACAGCTGGGGTCCAGAGTGCACTGGCTGGTGCTGCAGGCCCTGGCTCCTGGGCACTGGCCTCAGAGTGACTCTGCCTACTGAGAGAACCTTGATGCCTGGGTCTCCTCTACGTCAGAGGTTGGGAGGACTTTCAAGGTGGCCGCCATCATTTAGTTATTTGACACGCCTTTCTGAAGTGTCTTGGAAGGTCCAGACCCCTTAGCCGTAGAGCCTGTAGATGTGGGAAGTGCTGGCTAAGTCCCTACTGATGCCCTTAGGCAATTACAGCCTTTTAGAAAGAGGAGCACTTACTAGGCCACATAGAGCAACTGAATGGGTATAGAGATGGCCCCAGCCCTCACCCCGTTACCACCCAGCTCATGCCCGCTTTATGACTTCTGCCAACATATGCCCCAGACAAAGCCTCTGGGGTAGCAATGCTGTGTACCAGGATTCCTGTCAATACCATGGAAGGTGTAGTGGGTCTCAGCCCAGTCTTACTCCCTTCCAGAGAGGACACTGATGCTGCCCCTGACTGAGGGCTCACTGCGTCTGCGAGCTGATGATGAGGACAGCCTGACCTCAGAAGACTCCTTTTTCTCAGCCACTGAGGTAAATAGGTTGGGGGACCAAGTTGGGTTAGGCCAGGCCCTCTGGGCCAGAACTAGGTTGTGTGGGAAATAAGGTTATTTTCTTGTGTAGGAATGAAGCCCTGCTTTCCAAATACTTTGAAGCTCCCAGGTCAGGGAGGCCTGTGAAGCCAGGGGTTAAAGATGGCCAAGCAGAGAAATATGCCCACATCCATAGGGCTCTAAACTCTACCCACCTCTGGCTTCTCTAATCCGTTTAGTCCTTTGATTAGCGTTACTCTGCCACCAAGCTGGGGCAGGGTCAGAGTGTCTGTGCTTGGGACAGGAAGATGGGAACATGCATCCAGCAGATTCCCCTTTGGGAAGAGATCCTAGTAGTAGGAGTGCTGAGGTCTAGGGCTGGACATGAATCTAGGCCTCCCGTCTCATGGGGCCAGTGTGCTTATGGTATCTTTATGGTGGGCTAAAGGCAGGCACCTAGGGTGGTCCCTATTGCTGGGGCCCAGAGTTCTGGCCCCTATAGGGTGGTGCTCACTGGCCTCCTTGGCCCTCTCCCAGCTCTGTGAGTCTCTGCAGGTTGGAGAGTACCCACTTCCTCTCTCCAGGCCTGCTGCTGCCTACGAGGAGGCCCTGCAGCTGGTGAAGGAAGGGAAAGTACCTTGCCGAACCCTCAGGTGAGAGTGGGGAGGGGGTGTGTGGGTGGGCTCCAGCCCAAGGGGGGAGGGGCAGAAGTGCATAGTGACACTGGTTGTGACCAAAGGAGGCTGAGGTCAGCCCAGGTACCATAGCCATAACTGCCACCTGTGCCCAGGTCCAGAGGGGCCAATGTGGCCCCAGAGGACAGCCAGCCAGCTTCTGCCTTCGGCTGAGAGAAGATTGAAGGACAGAAGGAGACTGATACCAACCTGAGCTCACCCTGCTAGGTTGAGGCAGGGCCTGGTTGGACCCTTGTCTGTTCCTCCTCACCCAAGGCACACCCTCTACTGGGTCTTTGCTAGGCAGGACCAGGTGGCATGACACTATCTGTCCCTTTCCTCAGGACAGAGCTGCTGGGCTGCTACAGTGACCAGGACTTCCTGGCCAAGCTGCACTGTGTACGGCAGGCCTTCGAGGTGGGTGTGGTGTAGGAGCCCCTGGAGGAAGGTGCTGGGCCTGCCTCATACAGGGCCACCCTGTGCCTGGCCATGAGTCTGCCCTTCCACTGGCTCTGGGAGGCTCCCACTCACCACCTTCTTTCCTCAGGGGCTTCTAGAAGAAAGAAACAACCAGGTCTTCTTCGGGGAGGTTGGCCGGCAGATGGTGACAGGCCTGATGACCAAGGCTGAAAAGGTAGTTGGGGTGGGACTGTTGTTTCAGATTTCCCTCCAGAGCCTTACTTCAGGCTGGTGTTTTGCTTTGTTTTGTTTTGTTGACCAGGTCTTTAACACAAGAATCTTGGGCCTATGAGGTGGCTTGTTGGGAAAACCACTCATTCTACAGAACTGGTGACCTGAATAAGATCCCCCAAACTCATGGTGAAAGAGAGACCCAAGCCCCCAGAGGTCCTCCACAGCAGCTGTGAGGTGTGTCCACACTCACATCATGCATACAGAGTGCTAGTTCAGACAGCGCAAGTGCTGTCTGTGTAAGCCGTGTGTGGTAGAGTGTTTGCTCCTATTGCTGTGGAGGTGGAATGGCCAGATGCATGGCGTTCCTGACCAGTCAGTCTGATTGGTGAGCCCCCAGCTCTAATGAGAGATCCTGTCTGAGGAACATCTTCTGATTTTCTCTCTGCCCTGCACACATGTACAACACTTTAAAACCAAGTGCAGGAGTCCTGGCAGCTTCCTATACCCATAGAGTGCTGGAAAAGGGTTGTGGGTCCCCCCACTCCTGTTCCAACTTGGAAAACTAGAGACATGAACTCTTTCTTACTTGGTGATTCTAACAGTATACCTTTGTAAAACTGGTCAATAATGAAACAAACCACCAGCCAAGTGGTAGTGGCTTATCCCTTAATTCCAGTTCTCAGGGAGAGGCAGGCAGATCTGTGAGTTCAGGGACAGCCTGGTCTACAGACTAAGTTTGAGGACAGCCAGGGCTACACAAAGAATCCCTGTCTTGAAAAACAAAACAAAACAAACAAATGCAGACTGCAGAAGTGTCCTCTGCATCTGTCTATGGCCAACCCTTGTCGAATCCCAAGTGTTCGGTCCATGGCGACCCTTGCTGGAGTCCCAAGTGCTCTGCTCCATGGGCATTCTGATCATGGGTGTCGTTGCCCACCTCCCCAGCCTGTGCTGTGCAAGCAGCCTGCAGTCTCTGCTCAGTGGTATCGCAGGGTACCACATCCACCTTCCCTCGCTAATGTGCTGCCCGGGTAGTTATTCCAGCTTGTGGTCAAGCTCTGGTGTGTCCTGCCTCCTGGTGGGCGTCTGGGATCTGTGAGGTTCTGTCTCAGGTCCTGGCAGGAGGATGTTTTTCGGGACCTTCACCTTAGGTCCTTGTTGGCAGCATAAGAGTTTGTCCTCGTGTCTTGGCTCATACTGGGTTTTTGTAATCGTGACCTTTTGTCACTATTCACTGCTCCCTTGTTCTTTGCTTGTGGAAGAGGTTGCATAAGTTTTCATATTTATCACCCACTGGTGCTTTTGTTAAGGAATTGGGGCAAGTCTCTTGAGAGGGTCTTCTGTAACACAGGCCGGCTGGCTGTGTGGCTGAGATAACCTTGACATCCGATCCTCCTGCATCTGCCTCCCAAGTGGGGGGATACTAAGCATGCACAGTCATGACAAGCTCCTTTAGTTGTTAATTGCATTTAAAACTTTTTATTTGGTGTGCATGAGTATGGGGGCATGGGTGAGGATGCGCACACACCACTGTGCACACGTGGAAATCAGAGGACAGTTAGTGGGAATTGGCTCTATCCTTCTGTCGGGGCTCAGGGACTGAGCTCAGTTGTCAGGATGGTGGTAGGGGCCTTTACCACTGCAACATCTTACTGGCCCTCTTTTGGTTTTGTTTTTGTTTTTAATGCCCAGGCTGGCCTCAAACTGATGCCAATGTTTCTGCATCAGCTTCCTGAGGCTCTGCTAGAGCCAAGCTTGTCTCCCGGTCCTTCTCACTCTTCCTTGCTGGAGGAATGATCTAAAAGCCCTGTGTAAACTCTCATCTTCCACAGCTTCAGATCCCCCTAGCCCTCAGCCATGGCCTGCGTGCTGATCTGTGGTTGTGCTGGACATACTTTGACCTGTGCAGCTTGGGTCACTGGGGCCTGGGATGCGCACCAGACCCTCTACCTGCTTTGAACTTTTGTCTGTGCTCCCCCTGTGTGCCTAGAACACTGTTCCTCAGTTCTTGTTTACTTAGACAATTCACATAGAAGAAGAGAGTATGGAAAGGTGTGTTTAGTGTCTAATGGTGAGAAAGTGAACCCCAAGGATCCCCATCTCTCTGCCTTAACACCCTGTCTCCTGCATATGGTGCCCCTTGTCCTCCTCACCCAGCATTGATGCCCACGATGCCAGGATTGTAAGCCATGACAAGTGCTGCATTCACCTTTGCCAGGTGATTACCCCAGTGTCTGCCATCTGCCCCAAAGTGAGCTCCAGGCTGCTCCTTCATATCCCGATCCAGCCACTATCGGAGCTCCACTGCCGTCTGTTTAGCAGATAAGGAAACCAAGCCTGGAGAGCAAGGAGCGTTCCCAGGCCACTGAGCAAGGGACTGTAGAGCCAGGCTTTTACGGTTGGGTTTGCCATGTCCAGCCTATGCCCTTAGCTGGCTCTCTTTGGCCTTCCAAGAATAGGATGGATAATAGCAGTGAGGTGGCCTGAGGCCAGGCCATGCCAGCAGACCTCTGCTGCTCTGTCCCAGTCAGTCTTGGGCTTTGTTCTTTTACAAGGTGGAAAAGGCCCATGGCAGCTGCTGAGCCCCATGTCAGGAGCACTCATAGTCCTTCTCCCTGGGCAGATCTCTGATTGCCAGGTGGCAAATGTGCAAGCTCTGCAGTTGTAGCATCAGGACCATCTTGTAACCATACAACTTTCATCCAAGCCTTGTGTCTCTCTCTGAGTGGGCTGTTTCCATGTATATGTGGACGTGTCCTGTGTCACCCACACTCCATGTTAGACAAGCTTATGCTATTGAGCCATAGCCCCTGCCCCTGCAAGAGTTTCCCCCACTGTTTATAGAGTGCTCCTGTGCCAGGGGCCAATGGTAGTACAGGTGTGGATGCGGCTTAGCCCATTCTCACCCCTTGAAACCACACCTTGTCCTGGGCATTGCCAAAGAGAGATCATGTAACAGTGCCTGGCTGCCACAGGGCTACAGGTGTGTAGTGATGAGCCAAACTGAGACATAGCTGGGTGCCCTGATGCAGAATTGCCCCAGACACACCCTGGTTCTCTGCAAGGTTCAGGCAAAAGACACCTCCTTGCCGCCTCTTTAGGGTAAGGTCCCAGCCCTGCTTGGCACAATCTTATCCACAGCCCAGCCTGCCTGTGAATCTTAGCCAACTGGGTCGCAGGGCCTCTCCCACAACCAGAACTGACTGTACTTCTCACAGAGTCCCAAAGGCTTCCTGGAGAGCTATGAGGAAATGCTGAGCTACGCCCTGCGGCCTGAGACCTGGGCTACCACCCGGTTGGAGCTGGAGGGTCGAGGGGTGAGTCTGCTCACGCTTAGCTCCTGGGGTTCTTCAGAACAGAGATCATTTTGTTGGGAGCTTGTTCCCAGCTCAGCATCAGTACTAAGCAGCTGAGATGGCTCATCACTGCACTGAGCCTGGCTCAAGCCATTTCCCCGAGTGTCACGCACAGGCCCCCTTTGGCTTCCACACGGTAGCTCTAGATGCCCCCTCTTCCCTGAAGGTGGCATGCATGAGCTTCTTCGACATCGTGCTGGACTTCATCCTCATGGATGCCTTTGAGGACCTAGAGAACCCTCCATCTTCGGTGCTTGCTGTCCTGCGGAACCGCTGGCTATCTGACAGCTTCAAGGAGACAGTGGGTGCCCATCCTTTTCCTCTATGTACATGTCCTGTGACCTTCGGCACTCCTCGTCTATGCCTAGAGTTTATTTGTCACTGCCCACTGAGATGTGGGATGTCAGACTGGGGCTCTCCCCGTGCTCTTGAGCACTCCCTGCTGCCCTAGTTCCAGCAGTGTGCACATTTCCCTCTGTGTTGTCCTTACATGGGCAGAGCCCCCACTCTGGGCAGGCACTAAGTACTTTCATTTTAATGCATCCCATTAAGTTAAAATAGAGGAGAACCTCCACCCAACCCCAACAAAGTGACAACAAAACTCAAGGCCCCCAGTGATATGGTGGTGTTGGTGCCCATGACTCTTCTCCAGCTAGGCCATTTATAGATGCTCATGCTGGCTCCCACAACCACCAGGTGAGGGGGTGGGGTACTATGTCATGACCATTTTACAGAGGAGGAAACTGAGGCTTGGGAAGCCTCCACATCTAAATGGAGTTCTGAAGCATAAAAGCTAGAGCCTGGACTCAAGTGTAGGTGTGCATAGGGCTGAGGACGGCTGGCAAGTACCCATGTTCACTGCTCTTGAAGGGACCCAGGTTTGCCTCCTAATGCTTACAGGCCTCAGATAAGGCCAGGCGGTGGGTGGTGGTGCACACCTTTAGTCTCAGCACTCTAGTGGCAGAGGCAGGTGGGTCTCTGTGAGTTCAAGGCCAGCGTAGTCTATAAAGTGAGTTCCAGGACAGCCAGGGCTACACAGAGAAACCCTGTCTTGAAAAACAAACAAAACAAATTAGGCGTCTGTTGCCAAATTTAGGGTAAAGAAAAAGCGCCAGGTAGTGGTGGCACACGTCTTTAATCCCAGCACTCGGGAGGCAGAGGCAGGCAGATTTCTGAGTTCAAGGGCAGCCTGGTCTACAGAGTGAGTTCCAGGACAGCCAGGGCTGCACAGAGAAACCCTGTCTTGAAACCCCCCCCCCCCCAAAAAAAAAAAGAAAAGAAAAAGCAAGGCTCGGGTGCAGTTAGGTGTGGGTGGGCTGTGGGGAGAGCTCATCCTAGGCCAGGGCTGGGGCCCTGGGTTAGACTCTTCTAACTCCAGGATGGGGGCTTACCTGTGTTTTAGGCCCTAGCCACTGCGTGCTGGTCTGTCCTGAAAGCCAAGAGGAGGCTTCTGATGGTGAGTGATGGGTGAAGCTGCAGGAACTCCCCTAATCACTTGGACTGCATGGGGAGGGGATAGGTGCAGCAAAGTATCGAGACCCCCATACCGACCACCCATCATGCCACTGCACCCCACTTGGCCAGGTGCCCCAGAGGTCCTCCCTGAAGAGCAACCATCATGTCCCAGCAGAGGAGATCCACACCCTGGAAGAGGGAGGAGGGCTAGTGCACATGGCTGGCCCATAGCCATAGCAGTAAAAGCTCACCACTTGCCCAGGGTCACCTGGCCAGGATTTAGTGGGGCTTTAGGTAACTGCTGGTCCCCAACCCCAGCCTGCTCCTTAACCCTGCCACTCACCACAGGTGCCTGATGGCTTCATCTCCCATTTCTACTCCGTATCGGAGCATGTTAGCCCTGTGCTGGCCTTTGGCTTCCTCGGACCCAAGCCCCAGCTCTCGGAAGTCTGTGCTTTCTTCAAGGTACATGACAACCAGCCCTGCCTTCTTACTACCACAGACACCCCGCAGTGCCAGAGGAGGGTGGAGGCCCGGGCTGCTCTAGGTGAACACTAGAGGAGGAGCCCAGGAAGGCAGATGCCTGAGGCTGGGACAGTGGGCTGGGGCTTGGGCATTGAGAAAGGGGGCATTGAGATGTAGAAAATGTCCCAGGACCCAGACCCAACACCAGTCTCCTACCTCCAGCACCAGATTGTGCAATACCTGAGGGACATGTTTGACCTGGACAACGTGCGCTACACATCTGTGCCAGCCCTAGCAGAAGACATCCTACAATTGTCCCGGCGCCGCAGTGAGATTCTGTTGGGCTACCTGGGAGCGCCAGTGGCTAGTAGCACCGGGCTGAATGGGCCACTGCCTCAAGAGAACGGGCCCCTGGAAGAGCTGTAGTAATAGGGGCAGGCTGAATGAAAGAGGTTGCTGTTTAGGACTCAGTCATAAGGGTGATGGAAGAGAGAAAGCTGCCCCTCCCTTCCTTTGGGTGGCCACCCAAAGGCCAGGGTGGCCAAGGGCCATTGCCCCTGAGTTTGCTCCACTTCCTCATCTGGGAATCCCAACACTTAGAGGACAAATTTCCATGGAGAGGAGCCACTCGGAGCACTGGATAGCAGCTGCCCTTGGAGTTCCCTGAGCAGCAGAGGCAGGTCAGAGTCAGGGTCTGACCAGGGGCAGGCAGCAAGAGAGAAAGGGGTGGTAGAGAATGGCTCTGAGTATGGAACACAGAACCCTAATTCCCTCTGCTGCTGAGAGAGGCCAAGGAGGTGATGATTGAGGGATGGAACATGCAGGGCTAGGTGGTGACAGTCCCAGGGTCTTGCAATAGCAGCCACCTATAGCTACATAATTCCTAGCACCTAAGCTTCTGGCCAGTATGGAAAGCCCTGTCTGGGCCATCCAGAAGTAGGCTTGCCCCCACGTGTGCTCACATCTGAGCCCTTTACAAATCCCCATTCCCACACCCTGCCAAAAACTCAGTCTTATCCCACCTCTGCCGCCACCAAAGATGGAGGAGGCAGGACTAGCCACTTCCCTTTCCCTGTGAACCTGGAGCACCTGGGCAGTGCTGGGCTCCAGCCAGAGCTCACAAGAGCCCATCTCTCTGTTGCCATCTGTTGCTCCAACAGTGAGGACCTAGGAACCATGGCAAGGTGGGCCAAAGCTGCACAGCACGGCAGCTCCCCTTCCCCTTTCTGACAGGAAGCTGGACTCAGCACTTTGCCTTCAACACACGTGCTTTGGAGCTGCTGCCACCCAGGGTCCTGCAGACAGTTCTGTTGGCATTTGTCACGGCAGCTGCAGGAGTCCTGGCGGCCCTCCTTTTGCTTGAGCTGGGAAGTTTTTATTTATTGCCTTAACACTTTATTTGGCTGTTTCATCCCTTCCAGGCTGTGAGACATGCAGGAGAAAAGACTCCTGGTCTGGAGTTGAGCACTGGCTCCTGGAACCAAGTTCCTCTCTGTGGAAGGGAAAAGGGTTCCCCAAGGTCAGCAGGATGCAGTGAAGGGAGGGCAGCCGTGGCTCTGGGTCCTCTCTGAGGCCTGCACTCGGGAGGGAGCAGCCCTCATGCACTGTTTGACATTCCATTCATTTGCACTTACCCTGAGCTCTGAATGTAACCCTGGGCTGAGGCCCACTCTGATTGACCCCTGAACCACACAGCTGTGGCATCTTCATTTTGTCTGTTTGTATGTCCACGCCACGCCCTTTAGCTCTCAACCAGCAATGGTAGAGCATGAGTGCAAGGCCTGTGAGTCAGATAAAGGATCAAAGCGCCTCTTCTTTGTGTCTTGCTGGAGGGGGTGGGGGTGGGGGCAGTGCTGAGCCAAAGGCTGGACACCTGCCCTGTGCAGTGGGAAGAGGCTCCAGGAGGAACAGGCCAGGAGCAACCTGATGTGGCCGCGTGAGAGCCTGGCAGGGTCTGTGTGTCCCTGAGATGACAAGATGTAGATGTGGGTGGCCTGCACCTCTGGTCCTCTCCCACACCGGTAAGTCATGGGCATTGTACACAGCCAGGTCTTAATGTGTCTTCATGGACGTCTGGTTTAGGATTGCTGCAGTGAAGAAACTCCATGATCAACGTGGGAAGAACATTCCACATCACAGTTCATCGGCAGCAGTGGGGCAGGAGCTGATAGAGAAGCCATGGGCAGAGGCTGCAACTGGCTTCCTGTGGCCGTGAAGGCCAACTAGTTTAGCTGAATCCTAATCTGGGCTCAGTGAGAGATCTTCCCTTAAAACATGAACGGAGAGAGCGGTTAAGACAGACATTCAGTATTAACCTCTGTAGAGCATGCATGTATAGAGGCCCAGGGTTTTTCCTTTTCTTTCTTGGAATGTAGCCCAGAATGTTCAGGTCCTTGTATGCAGACCAGGCTAATCTTGAATCTACAGAGTTCTGCTTGGCTCTGCAGCCAAGTGGTAGGATTAAAATCTTGGGCTACCACATTCATTTTAACACATTTTTTTTCAGGGCTGAGGACCTGCTTATTAGGCAAGCGTTCTACCACTATGCTAAATCCCCAACCTCCACAATTCTAATTCTAGGGCTGACAGTATACCTTTGTGGCAGAGCACTTAGCCAGCATTCACAAAGCCCCAAGTTCAATCCCCAGCACATTATTCAAAAACAAAGCAAGCCGCAAAACTAATACCTTTAGTTGGCAATTAACATCCTGCCGTGTTTGTTTCATGTTTCCAGAGTACATAGAACAAGCTTCAGGTGTGAACTTTTATGAGCCCCTCAGCAAGTAGCTCTTTAGTGCAGTTTTCCAGTGTGTGGACCCATATCCCAGTTGCATATGAAACAGCGGTTCTGACCTGTGTGCACAGGATTTAACTCTAGTCCTACTGGAAAACAATGTGGGCGTGGTGGTGCAGGTTGTCATCTTGGAGAGGGAGGGGAGATTAGGCATGAAGAGCCAAGTGGCATAGCCATCTTTGGTTATAGGGTTAGAGAGTTCAAAGCCAGCATGAACTTCAGGAGATTGTCTCAAAAAATAAAGGGACATGTAAAGTGTCACACTTAAACAGTCCTAGTACTTCAGGAGATACAGACGGGGACAGGAGTCCAAGGCCATCTCTGGCTACTATATAATTCTAGGCTAGTCTGGTTACATAAGACCCTCTCTCAAGAAGGAGGAACACAGGGCAGGGGATGTAGTTCAATTGGTAGAGTACTTGCCTGGCATGTAGGAATCGCTGGGTTCAGTCTCTGTGGCACCATCTAAACTAGGGGTGGCAGTACACACCTGTGGCGCCAGCACTGTGGAGGTGGAGGAGGGTCAAGACAAGACAGTCCTTAGCAGCTCCATAGGAAGTGTGAGGCAAGCTGGGGTTCCCTGAGACAGTCAACAGGAACACCATGTGCTTGAGCTGTCTTCACCAACTTGGCAGGTATGAGCGACAGATGTCACTCCAGTGCTGGGAAGTAAGTGGTATGTCTCAGCAGCCTTGTCGAGGTGTACTGTGTACCCCATAAGTGAGTTATTTTAAGGGTTTCGAGTAATGTACCAGATACCACAATATACTTCTAGAACATTTATGTCACCCTCCTGAGCTCTCTACACCCGCCACCAACTTTCTCCCCTTCTTGCCCTTTCTGGACCTTCCCTGTGAATTGGATCATATATGTGGTCTTTGAGTTGGTGCTCATTCTGCTAGAAAAATATGAGAGTAATTCATTTTGCAGCTCAGGACCATTCCAGGCCTCATGTATGCTAAGCAAGTATCTGCCAGTTGAGCCACACCCACTTCCCTGGTTTTGTTGGGTTTAAAAAAATTTTTTTTGAATGTGTATTTGTGTGTGTGTATGTGTGCACATATGTGCGCCTGTCTGAGGGTTACCATTTCTAGGATGAAACACCATGACCAAAGCAACTTGAGGAAGACAGGGTTTATTTGGCTTACATGCCTACATCACTGTTCATCACTGAAAGAACTCAGACGTCGGACAGTGGTGGCGCACGTCTTTAATCCCAGCACTTGGGAGGCAGAGGCAGGCGGATTTCTGAGTTCAAGGCCAGCCTGGTCTACAGAGTGAGTTCCAGGACAGCCAGGGCTACACAGAGAAACCCTGTCTCAAAAAACCAAAAAAAATAAAAAAAAAAAAAAAAAAAGAAAGAGAGAGAAAGAAAAATAAAGAAAGAATGAACGAACGAACAAACTCAGGACAGATACTCAAGCGGTGCAGAAGCCTGGAGTTAGGAGCTGATCCAGTAAGATCAGCCTGCAAAATGTCTAAATCACGAGTTCCAGGCCAGCCAAGGTTACACAATGAGACCCTGCCTCGAAAAAAAAATTCTCACATTACTTACTTATTCTCAGAGCTTTCACTGTCCTGGCACCAGTTATTCTCTCAGACCCTCGGTGGCCCAACCCCACCCACCTCCCCAGCATCCTTGGATTCTTTTACCCAGCCAGACTGGACCACAAGAAGTCCAGCTCTTCTCCCTGCTGAAGACTCATCCCAATAACTCCCACACGTTTTCTGTTCTTCATCTTGTCACTTCCTCGGGGATGCTCTCCTGTGTGTCAGAGACTCTGAGGAAGGGCAAGGCAGCCTGATCTTCCATGCTCTGTCTCAGAGAACTATTCTAGGAAGCTCATGACCACTTCTCACACCTCTTTCTTTCAGAAGCTAATAATGACGTTGTCTGAGAGAGAGCTAAGGGCAGGTGACAAGGTGAGGCCAGCTGGCCTCGACAAGTTCAGGCTGGGTTGGGAGATGCTGAACATAGCGGAGGCAGTGGTCTTCCTAGCCCACAGCTGGATTCTGAGTCCCCAGCGCGTCCTCAGCCTACTTAGACTAACCTACAATTCTGGCTTCTGCAGGCTACCAGACTAAGCCACTCTGGCTAGTGATGACCTCAGAACATAGACTACAGAGGCAAAGGCTCCAACCCCGAACTACTGGGTTCCCGCAGGGTCCCCAGGCAGACCGAGAACCTGCTTTTTTTTTTTTTTTTAAACTGTCTATGCACTGGTGCTTAGTGAGGTCAGAGAACCATTGGATACTGGCAGAGACAGAAAAGGAAATAATTACAGTCCAGTGTAGCCACAGATGTGGTAGGCAAAGGAGGTGCTATCGTTAGAGACCACTGGTGCGCCCCACCCCTTTCTGAGGCAGCCCAGACTGGCATCCAACTCATGGAGATTCCCCTGCTTCTGTGGACGCCCTTCTCTTAATCTTGAGAACCTAAAGGTTTGAACTGACAAGCCAGACTGGGCCAGGCAAATGGGGCAGGAGTGTGTGCGCCCATTCCTAATTCTAGTTCTAAGAGGAATTAGAAGAACTGGAATCTGGCCTAGACTCTAAGTAGGTCTGTCTGGAGAGAGTGGGTTGAGAAAGTGGATGTGGGTATGAAGTGTGGCTGTTTCCCTCAAGAGTGTTTTGGAAAACAGAGAAGGGTGGATGGAACATCTGGACTTTACTGAAATGGTCCCAAGTGGCCTCACTACATAGCTTAATTGATGAAGCAATTACTGTAGTATTCATTCCATGTAAGATACCTACACTATGTGCTGCATCGCAGACGTTAGGACCAATAATCTTTTAATAACAGAAAGAGGTCCTTTGCGGAACTGTCCTTGTCTGTCAGTAAAGGGCAGAAAATAATCGCTCTAGGTCTTTGATCTCAGTTTACATTTATGTAAAAGAAGCCAGAACCTGGAGGACGAGGCAAAATGATGCTAAGGCAAGCCTGGGCTTCATAGTGAGGGACAAATTTGTTTTCAGAATGGGTCGGTTGTGACCCGGTGGTGCTGAGGCTCCCTCTCCACCGCGCTGTGGGTTCTCAGGAGCCTTAACTCTGGGCGCAGGTGCCAACCGAACCAAAGCTCCCACCAAAGTACAACACGCCCCCCGAGATAGCGCCTGATTGGCTCGCCCTTCCCACACTCCGAGCCAAGCTTACCTTTTGATTGGCTCTTCTGCTCTCTGTCCTGCGCTGGAGCCCTCCATTCTCTTGATTGGCTAGACAACAACCTAAGCTCGCACGGGATTGGGCACTGGCAAAGCTGCGAGGGTCCCCGACCTCTGATTCGCCGCACGGGCCAGCCTCACGGCCTGCACACTGAATGGCTGCGCCACTACCTGCAATCGGCCTCGGATTGGGTGCGTGGCGTCTCCCCGGCGTGATAGGTCAGGACCACCGCCCCCCTTGCTCCTCATTGGCTGCTCCGCGAAGCCCGGTCTCCGGGTAAGATGGCAGCGGACGGACAGTGCTCGCTCCCCGCTTCATGGCGGCCAGTGACCCTCACCCACGTCGAATACCCTGCAGGTAAGAACCTGCCCCGGCTCTCAGAATGTTCTCCCGGAGCCGGCGCCTCAGCCCCGAGCGTTCGGGGCCTCGCGGGCCATCTTAGGGGCGCCGTGGAACCGCGGTGAGAACTGTCAAACAGCGAGCCTTGGTGTGGCTCGGCCGGCGCGCGCGCCACGCAGGCGCAGTGAAGCGACGATGAGCTGGGAGAAATTGTGAGCGGCTCGCTTGTACGCTCTGCGGCTGCGCGGCCGAGTCGCTCTCCGGGGTCCCGGGGTGCTGGTGGGCTGTGCTGGGCCGGGGGTTTGGGTGGAACGGGCGAGGATCAGGGTCTGGACTTTGTCCCTTGTGCCCCGCCCTTCCCCGAGCCAGAGAAGCCGCACTCCTGTTCGGCCGTGCAGGGAGTGCCAGTTTCCTTCACTATGCTGCGGGCTGCTCGCTGGAGAAAGCTCCCAGTTGCAGGGACTGTGCAAGCCCAGGCCAGGTTTGGGAGAATTTGTAGCGCCACGCCCTGAGCAGCGCGGCTAGAGGCGGGCCGCCAAGGGGGCTTGCAGCCCCCGGGAGCTTGACTTGTAAGAGCTTCCATCTGACACGCCTCTGGGAGTGCCCGCCTCTCTGGTGGGAAGGTTCATTAACCACGGTTCTAAAGTTCCGGCTCGGCTCCGTAGAGTGGAGCGGGAGCTTAGGCCTTGGGGTGAGACGTTTCCGGGCTCCAGGGTAGGCACCACCCCTCCAGTCACTTCATCTTAAGTGACTCCAAGTACAGTGTCTCCTTTCTGTAATGGTGTGTGACTCAAATGACCACAGGCCTGAGAGGTGCTGGGCACAGAGCCTGGCCCACAGAGAACACCCAGTAAAAACCTGTAGTTTATATCTCTAGCTTGCCAGCACCCTCCCTGGATAAACGTTTGTTGCTGAGCAGCCAGGGGCCCCTTACCAGCCTCTGGATGTCCAGGAAGGGCCTGTTCTCTTGGGTAGAGACCTGAGCGCTTGAGTCTGCTGAGAACATGGGGTCACAAGCCAGGAGAACTTTGGCTCTGCATGTTCTGGGTTATACTTAAGGTGTGGCAGTGCAGGGATGGGCCCTATCAAAGTGCTTGTTCATTATCCATCCATCCATCCATCCATCCATCCATCCATTCTGCAGTACCTTAGCATCTCCCAAGTGCTAGGCCCTGGGCCAGCTTGGGGTTTGGAATGGTGAAGTCCCTGCACTCTGGTTCTGTGGGAAGTCTCTGCTCCAGAGGAGGGAAACCAGGCCTGGAGAGGGGGAGAGACTTGCCTGGGGCCTCCACAGCTTCCCAACATTCCCTCCCTGGCCTCAGAGTAGCTTCTTGGAGGGCTCTTGGCCTTTCAAGTGAGAAGGCCCCTGCAGCTGTGAACAGCATGGCACATCCAGGCTGTGTGTGATATGGGACCTGGTTGATCCTAAGGACATCTGGGAAGGTTTCCCTGTACTTCATGTCACTCACTACACTGAACATGTTTCTTTCATGCCTGAGTCCTATGGTGCACCATACATTGCTACACTCAGGACAGTACGGTAAGGAGACCTTGTCACTACCCTCATGGGACCTAAAGTACAGAGGGCAAAAAGAGGTCCCACACAGCTACTTATACCAACCAGTGACTCATGACCCAGGTCCCGGTCACACATCTCCATCAGTCAGGCTGAGAGTTTTGGGACTATGGGCTCTCATCTGTGTGATCTGTGGCTGAGCTGGGTCTTAGCTTTTGTTTTTTGAGTTCACCTAGGCAGCATCCTCGGTGGGGAAGCCACGTGTGCACGGGTCCAGAAGTAGGACAGCACAGTGTGTTCAGGGAGCTAGAGTAATGTCCCTGCAACTGGAGCAGAGGGTGGGAGGGAAGTGGGCCAGGTTTGCACAGAACCTGGTAAGCAGGGCCTAAGGAACAGGGACAGGGGAGGCATGTGGCTTAAAGAGAGCTAAGGCTAGAGTCCCTGGCCTCTATAAGACAACCTGATGAACTGGTCAGAGGTTCAGGGACCCTAGCTGTGCCCTGGCCTCATAGCCCAGCAGTTATCAGTTGAGCTGTGACAGAGTCAGGATCTCAGGGATGGGAAGACATGGGCTCAGAGGAGGGCGGGATGTGGGATATCAGCATTTGAACCTAGGTTTCTGGCCAACTCAAGGCAGTCTTTCCTGGTAGGCCAGAGAAGGTATATGTGACTCTATCCCTTAAGGCTTGGAATCTGCTCTCTGCCCTCTGTGGGTGTATGCCTGTTTGTGTAAAGCCAGACTGCTGGTAAAGGCCACTTCCCATACTGGGTTCACCCAGCCTCTGTGATCACCACTGTGTAAGTGGCCTGTGTGCCAGAGACACTTGGCAGGCGTTTGGCATCACTTCTACACATTCTGGAAACTATACATCCCAAAGGGAAGAATGTGGCTGTCTAGGGAGCTGGGCTTGCCTAAGTCTCCTCAGGCTGCTCAAGCTGCGACAGGAAGTGAAGAACAGCACCTAGCCCCAGAGCTGCTTTTTAGTTTGCCACCTTGTTTCAGTGGTGAGAGTGTGGCCTTTGGGCATGGCCTTGCCTGTCCAAAGACATGACTCTAATCTTAGCTTCTGCCTCTTGGAGAGGCCAGTGATCCTCACTGCCTCCCTCCAGGCTTTGACAGGAGAGGAAACACAATGTCTTACCTATGGAGAAGCTTTGAGAAGCTGCTAACTGTTGTGGGTGGCCACTTTGAGCTGGCCCTGCTGGAGTCTCCAGTATGTCTATCTGGTGCCTAGAAGAGCACAAGCTTCTCTGGAGGCCCCAGCCCCATGGGGGCAGCCCAGACACATGCCAGATGGGACCTTGGGTTCAGGCTTCCCTTCTGACAGAGTGGGTATAACATCTTGACCAGGCCAGAAGCTGGCCTCCATCCAGGTCCCATGTCTCTCTGATTGTGTAACTTGAACAAGTCTCATAGCCATGCTGAGACATACTTCCTTCTGTAAAATGGGGACAAAGAGACACCTTCTTGAAACTCATGGTGTGTGTATGTGGATCCCTTACAACTGTGTTTGTGTGTGTGTGTGGGGGGGGCATTGGGATGTCCATGGCCGTGGCCCTGGGCTCTAGGACCTCCCCTTTTGTTTAAGCACTATTGGTTTTCAGAGGGCTGACCCTTTTTCTGATCCCATTCCCTGTCTCATGCTGTTCCTCTGTCCCCACAGGTGATCTGTCTGGCCACCTCCTGGCCTACCTGAGCCTCAGCCCTGTTTTCGTCATTGTTGGTTTCGTGACCCTCATCATTTTCAAGCGGGAGCTACACACGGTGAGCTTTGGCCCCAGCTGTTGACCAGAACCCTCTTTTGGTCTATGGTGCCTTCCCCTGCAAAGCCTGTGGGGTCTCCTGGCTGGGTCCAGGTCATTCACTCAGTGGTCTGGGCTGTCCATTGAGAGGCCATGATCACAGGGACTGGGTGGCAGCCAGCAGCTGTGTAGAGGCCCAGCTGAGTGCCTGTCTTTCCCAGCAGATTTCATTCCTTGGGGGACTGGCACTGAATGAGGGTGTCAACTGGCTGATCAAGCACGTCATCCAGGAGCCTCGGCCCTGTGGAGGTAGGGCTGAGACTTAGGACCCAGGGCTTCATGTTGGATATTGTGAGGATGCCTCTATCTTCCCATGATGCCCTGTTTTTCTCCCCAGGCCCACACACAGCAGTGGGCACTAAGTACGGGATGCCCTCCAGCCATTCCCAGTTCATGTGGTTCTTCTCCGTCTACTCCTTCCTTTTCCTGTATTTAAGGTGAGAGCCCCACCTATACCCCTGCTGTGTAGCTTTGCTCTGCTGGGACTGCTGTACTAAAGCTTTTGAATGGGACCAAGGGCTGCTGGGAGGCCTGGATTCAGGTTGTGGGCTGAGGCTGTCTGATGCACCTCTTTTCCCAGAATGCACCAAACAAATAACGCCAGGTTCTTGGACTTGCTGTGGAGGCACGTGCTGTCTCTAGGGCTTCTCACGGCAGCCTTTCTCGTCTCCTATAGCAGGTATGGAAGGGGTTGGAGCCCCGGCCCTGCAGCCTGCCCACCTGGTTCCTGTTAGGTCTTGGTCTCTTTTGAACAGCCTCTGTGGACCTGGGCCAGACACTGTTGGTTATAACTGGGAAAAGAATCCAGTCTCTAATTTTAACAGACGGGCTCCCACCGCCCTTTCCAATGTAGCAGATAAGCAATGATTCTAATAGTAGCTTCTTGCATTAGCCATTTGTCCCCAGCTCTCTGGGGTGCAGAGTGGAGTGGGGGGCTGTGTGGACAAGCTCTGGCTTAAGAGCTGGACAGAGCCGGGCGGTGGTGGCGCACGCCTTTAATCCCAGCACTTGGGAGGCAGAGACAGGTGGATTTCTGTGTTCGAGGCCAGCCTGGTCTACAGAGTGAGTTCCAGGACAGCCAGAGCTACACAGAGAAACCCTGTCTCGAAAAAAACAAAAACAACAACAAAAAAAGAGCTGGCCAGAAGGGAGCAGGTGTGGAGACGGGCTTGTTTCTGCATGCCTGCTGCCCTCTAGATGTATCTATCCTGTGTGTGTGTCTTCACACCTAGACCCAGGATCCTGCGGAAGCTGTTAGGAACGTCAGACATGGGGTATTGTGTAGGCCTTACCTGGTTGGCTCTCATGAATTTCCTTTCTGGCCTTGTCCCAGGGTCTACCTGCTGTACCATACCTGGAGCCAGGTGTTTTATGGGGGTGTTGCTGGAAGCCTCATGGCCATCGCCTGGTTCATCATCACCCAGGAAATCCTCACCCCACTGTTCCCCAGGATAGCAGCCTGGTAAGCACTTCCCCTTCCCAGCTCTGTGTCCCTGCCCCTCCTGTAGTTTTATCTGTGGAGAGCCTTGTGTCCTGGATGGCCCAGTGTCTGATGGCACAAGGCTTAGAACCCACTCTCCTGGCTACCACCTCCCCCAGGGGCTTAGGGGTCTCTTGGGTTCAGCAGCCAGAGTGACCTCTATCCTTGCCTCAGCACTTAGAGACTTAGAGGACAGCCAGAGTCTTGTGGGGCCATGGAGGAGCCTGTAGGGGCTCCAGGAACTGTTAGGACATCTGGCTTTGTGGCCTGCTCACACCCTCACTGTGGTCTTGGCCTTTGGGTATCTGTCTCTCCAGGCCCATCTCCGAGTTTTTCCTCATCCGGGACACGAGCCTCATTCCCAATGTGCTCTGGTTTGAGTACACAGTAACCAGGGCAGAAGCCAGGTGAGTTAAGGGGACAGCAGTTATCACTGCCCACCCCCACCCGTTCAGAAGCTAGACACTTGCTTCGGTTTCTGACACTGACATATGCTGTGCTCCTATTTTTTCAGGTGGGTAAGCTGAGGCTCAGAAGAAGGTTGCTGCTTGAGCTCTGTTAGTGGGTGAGGGAGCAGGTGGGAAACTGCTGGCCCAGTGTGTCTGCTTTTACCTCTAAAGCCCAGGTCCGGAGAGCTGTGCCTCGGGGGTTTTCAGGGCCCATGAGTGTGACCATCCTCAGCCGATTAGCTTTCTATTAAGTGGGTAAGCTGAGGCACACTGAGCTGGGGACCAGCTTGACACTGAGTACAAGTTGGAGCAAAGCTGGGCTTTGGTGTCTCCTGACTCACACTCTTCTACTTAACTTTCCCTAGTCTGGGATGGAGGGACAGCCAGCCAGCTTCTCCCTAGGACTGAGGGAGTCTGAGGCAGGTCAGGCCCCAAGGAAGCCTAGGAGATTTTCCAAGGCGGTAATAGGAGCCATCGGAAAGGGTGGAGCAGGGTAAGTGTCCAGCAGCTAAGCAGTGTGCTAGTTAGTACACCAAGGTCCACATTATCTTAACAAGCTTAAGGGTAAAGCCCGGATCCATGAGGAAAGGGGATTTGAGGGTTAGGGCAGGGCAATCCCATTAGTGGCAGAAAGGCCCAGATGCCTCAGGCTCAGCCCTCCACCTGGCTCCCAGAGTGGCCAGTGCTGTCCCACCCTGCTCAGCCAGCTGCCACCTGCCTTCATTTTCTCCCTGGCACCTGTTCCATGTCAGGCTGTGTGCAAAGGCTGAGCACAGAGTGAGATAGCCAGGCTCCCACCCTCCTGGTGTTCAAAGCGGCCACATGATCATGTTAGGGAGCGAAGCTCAGAGGCTTAGAGAGTGACAGGATCCCAGAGTAGAACAGATCACAGGTCAGCCTGCTGGCCTCCCAGAAGGAAGCAGGCCTTTGCAGCAGGGCTGACAGAGAGGCATCTGAGAAGAGGAACAGCATGCATGATGCTCTTGAGACAGACAGATCGGTGGAGGAGGGCCAGGGGAGCAGGGTGGAAGGCTGGGGCCACGTCGCACCAGCTCCCGTGGGCCATGGTTAGCTTTCTAGTTCTATAGGTACCTCACACAAGCGCTGTTCTTTCTGAGCCTCAGCTAGCCCCTCCAGAGAACAGCAGAGATTCCTCTGCTTGCATCCTGGGCACCTCTCCAGTGCACTTTCCTCTGCTTGCATCCTCTTACAGAAAGAGCATACCATCTTCTGCAGCTGCTTTGGCGGTAGCAGAACCTGGGGCTGACTTCTCTGTAATGGAACTTCCCACACTTAGTCAGGCCCAGCCAAGTGCCATTCACCTCTCTTGTCCCAGCCCTGTCCTGCCTTCCCCTGGCTCACTTCCTGAGCTGGAAACCTGGGTCATCATGATACAGCCCCACCAAATGCTCCTCAGGTCCCAGCCCACAGCAAGGGCTCTGATTGGCCTGGCTCTGGCCCAGGTGGCTAGGGTTTGATGTTGAGCCTAAGCTGGGAGCTTCGGGACTGACTGGCCACTCAGTACCAGATATCCCCGGATTTAAGGCAGCCCCATTTTTCAGGAACAGACAGCGCAAACTGGGAACAAAACTGCAGTGACTGGTGGGAGTGGCTGGGTCAAGCCTCCGAATCTGGCCTGCACCATGCCTTGCAGGATGGACAGAATGATGAACGGAGGGGTGAAGCAGAGACCTCTACAGACCCGAGTCACCAAGTGGAGCCTTTTTTTTTTTCTTATTTTAATTTTATGGACATGGTGGACCAAAGTGCTGAGTCAGGTCCTCAGCCAGGACCCTGGGAGGGCCTGCTGTGTGTGGGTCACATGGCCAGAGCCCTTGTCTCTGCTGCTGCCAGCCCTGACTGGGCAGAAAGTGCTCTTGGCATAGGCCTCAGTGTGTGGATAGAGCACGGGTAGAGCGCTTGTATCTCTGGTCCTGAGATCAGAACTCCGGGTAGCAGAATGCGCACTATTTATTCTTTTGGGATGTAGAGTTCATGCTGAAGAGGCTGTTCTGCGGTGGCTGCCCTGCAGTGGCTGCCCTGTGTACAGAGGGCCCAGGTTAGCTCCCAGACCCTGTGCTCTGAGCCTGGAGCAGGACAGCCTGCCTCCTGCTGGGCCTGAGCAGGGCCTGCGGCCCAGGAGTGAGGTATCCCCCGCTGTTCCTGCCACCATTGCCATTCCAGAACCCTGTCAGTGTTTCCTTGTCTGGGGCAGGGCCCAGAGCCAGCACCCATCGGTCTGTTGGCTGGGCTGCTGGCTTGTGTTCTTCCCTGTATCAACCCGACATCACAAGGGCTTTCTCTGGTCCTCTATCCCTTCCTGACAAAAGAGCCTGCACAGAGGGTGAGCACACCCAAGCGTTTACAGCTCCTTTTGTCTGGCCATCCGGTAGCAGTCTGTCTTCATCCCCACTTGAACAAAAGAGAGGACCCAGGAGCTGGGATGCTGGCAGTGTGGCAGTACACACACCCTCCCCCATCACCTGTCCCATGTGCTCTGGATTTGTCCCTGTCCTTCCTGGCCTGCCCTGGAGGCTGGAAACCAGTGCAGGTTGACCCTGGAGTCTGCCTGGGTGTGGGCTCTCTGATCCCCACCTTCCCATCTTTGAGGAGTCCCTTTTAAGGGCCTCTCTCCAAGTTGCCCTGCCACAGCTGTGGAGATGCTTCCAGAACTGAAGCAGCCCCTGGGGGAGCTGTTTGAACCCTCCCCCGTTTCTCTGTGGAGGTCCCTAACCTGCTGCTGAAGCACAAGTTTTTGGTGCTTTCCTTTGTGTTTGTTAAAGGCCGTGTCCAAGCCCCTCAGATGCCAGGGCCAGGGCTGGTTTCTAGGGAGGTAGGTCAGTCACATCTCCTCTCCTTCCCCTAGGATTTTTATTTTTTACTTTTTTGCCTGAGACAAGCCAAGTGTGAGGTGGTTTAAGAAAACAAATGAAATTGTTTACTATTGTTTTAAAATAAAATCTGAAACTCTGGAGGCTGAGTTACATTACTTGAGCTCCTGAAGGAGGCTGGGGCAGCTGGGGCACATGTGGCCCTCAGGAACAAGGATATGGTAAGACCACGAGGTCACAGGATAGTCCCCTCTAGCCCCCAAAGTGAGGGTTTGAATGGCCCCCGACATCTGCCACAGCCCTGCCAACCTCTGGTATCTATGCCATGGATGTCTGGTCCATGCTCCTGTCAGAAGCCCTCCCTGCCTGGCTACCTCTAGCCAGGTTTTCCTCTATAGAATAGTCCAGAGGATTGGGGAGCATCTGCCCTTCACAGGGCTTTCATGTCCAACTCCACTTGCATCGTCTGCCTCAGTCAGACTTCTACCTCAGAAGAACTGCCTGCCACCTCTGCCTGCCTCTGGTGGCCAGAGGCCTTGCAGCGCTGAGTGAGTTCAGGCTAGCTGAGGCAGGCAGTTTCGTTTCCTGACAGGTTATGGGAAGGTGCACAACCACACCCTCTGGGAGAGGGTGTGTGGGAGATATACCCTTACACGTGGGAGGCCTGCTGAAGCAGTTGGGTAGGGGAGGCCGGAATCTTGACAATTATGACTTCTAACTAGTAGAGACCCCCGGAGAAAGAATGTATTCTAGACTTCAAGTTACTGTTACAGTTTTTAGTTACAGTGGAGTCCAGCTCTTCTCTGTAGCCTAGTCAGAACTAGGATACACCCCTGGGGAAATCTGGTTAGCCTCTGCTAGCATCCTGGCTAGGCAGTTCCTTTCTGTATACTTGCTACCCTGGGACAGCTGAGGGGTGTGGTGTGAGCCTGGGTGAGCTGTGGTTCAGAACCTTCCCTGCCTTACAGATGACTGATGTACTCTTGGGAGCCTGCCATTCGGTAGCAATGGCATTAGCTTCTCAGGTTTCATCATATGGAAACTGGTACATGGTGCAGGCCCTGCCTCAGGTGACACACAGGTCAGTCAAGCCATGAAGCACTTCCTTCACAGGTGTGCCAGCCTCCCAGCCTCCCATTCCAAGCACATAATGTACCCAGGGACTTCCACAGGACATGTACCCTCTAGTAGGTGGCAGGGTTGGGGACTCTGATAGTGGTTGTTTCTCCAGCCCACTTCCAGTCAGCATTTGCTTGTATGGACCAGGCCTCTAGCATGTCCCTGATCCATTACCCCTCCTGTTGAGTTCAGTGTAGGGCAGTTGTACCTGGCTTTAGGCTGGTGAATGTTTGCCACCCCAGACCCATAGCATTCCACTAACCATCGGAAGTGGTTACGGTTTGGCGACATCCTTGGCTCAGCACCTCAGTTCTCATAGCTTGGCCTAAGGATGTTTTCTCTGGGAGCTTGCTGGCCCACTGCTTGGATACCAGCTCCCTGAGCCAGAGACAGGTAGAAGATGGCCAGGCAGGCGTCTGCCCTGCTCGCCCCTCAGCTGAATCAACTTCACCAGCACTTCTTCCCTTTATTGATCGCCTGGCATAATCACATATGCCACCATGACTGCAGCAAGAGTCACGCTGAATGCAAGCAAGGGGCTCGAGAGTCACCAGAGCATGGCAGCTGGGAGATGGCACCTTGAGGTGGTGTGGTGGAGGCTAGGCCTTAAGTGTCCCTTAGCTATGGGGAGGCTGAGAGTCCCTCATCGATAGATAACCCTCTGACTCCTGGTCCTCGGGCATTTACCAATGAAGACAGATTTTGGCCTGGCTGTGGAGATGAAAGATTGGCCAGGGCTGAGGAAAGGGACTCTTCCCAGGCCCTGCTGTGAGAAGGGATGGACTGGTTCCCTTCCCCATGGTTCACATGGTGGATGACACGTTGGTGACCTGGGCCTCAGTCTTGTTCAGTCTCTGGACTCAGCCCTGCACACGGACTATGGCAGGTGCTGAGGACAGGGCCTGGAAGGCACTTGGCTTGGACCTTGGGCCTTGCTAGAGAATGCTTTTCTGGCTCAGTCAAACTGGAGGGCACGGGAGCCCAGGAAGTGAGCCATGGTAGGTGTCCATTCCAAAGTGGGTTTGGCTGTGGAACTGGCAGGCCTGGGCCTGGGCTCAGAGCTTGGCCCTGGGGTGGTTCTGGAGTAGGGTGCGCATGTCCAGCAGAGCTTTTTCCAAGTAGTGAGCCATGCGGGCGGCATTGGTCTCGGCACAGCTGTTGTAGGCTGACACGGAAAAGTTGATATGGGCCTCCATGGGATTGTAGCAGATGCCATAACCATCTGGTACCACAGGTCCAAAGAACATGACACAGTCTGTCTTGGCAGGTACCTGGGGACAGCAGATCTAAGCTTTCATACCTAGGCCTGTGGTGGCCCTCCTCCCCCTTGGGTGTACCAGTTTGCCTCTCTGTATCTACTCCTCTCCTATGTATTTTCCTTTTCTCCATAGGGCGAGCCTTCCTTCACATTCCTGGAGGGAGCAGTGGTGCTCCCTCTGCACTCCTCAGGGCTCCTATGTGCTCCCTCTGCCCTCCTCAGGGCTCCTATGGTGCTCCCTTTGCCCTCCTCAGGGCTCCTATGGTACTCCCTCTGCCCTCCTCAGGGCTCCTATGGTGCTCCCTCTGCCCTCCTCAGGGCTCCTATGGTTCTCCCTCTGCCCTCTTCAGGGCTCCTATGGTGCTCCCTCTGCACTCCTCAGGGCTCCTATGGTACTCCCTCTGCCCTCCTCAGGGCTCCTATGGTGCTCCCTCTGCACTCCTCAGGGCTCCTATGGTGCTCCCTCTGCCCTCCTCAGGGCTCCTGTGGTGCTCCCTCGGCACTCCTCAGGGCTCCTATGGTGCTCCCTCTGCCCTCCTCAGGGCTCCTATGGTGCTCCCTCGGCACTCCTCAGGGCTCCCAGCACTGCCCTGAGGCCATGTCTGCCTCCTTGCCTGTGTTCCACAAATACTGTGAGCTTCCTGGGACTGTGTCCTAGCACCCAGCACACACCAGCTGGTACCCATCAGGTAGTCAGTTACAGTGGCCAGTGAGTGAATGGAACATTCTCTCTCTTAAGAGGCCTAAGCCTTCCCACCCTTGTTACAACAGTGTCCCTACCCTGAGCTCCTGCTTGGGAGCCCAGTTGTTTTGACAGTGAGCCTCTGGTGACGTGTGTGGGCCACATCACCAATAAAGTCCAGCTGCCAGTGGATTGTAAAGATTATTTACATTGTCTATGTGTGTATGCCTGCATGTGTGTGCCCACAGAGGCCAGCAGAGGACATCAGATCCCCAAGAATTGAGGTTACAAGTGCTTTTAATTGACCTGATGTGGGTGCTGGGAACTGAACCTGGGTCCTGTGGAAGAACAGCAAGTGCTCCTAGCCATCTCTCCAGCCCCTGCCAATGGTTCTATTCACCTGTATCCTGGGGCACCTGGGCCAGTAGCCTACCTGGCTGGTAGAAAGGTTGAAGTGCATAGCAATGGCATAGGAGGTGTCCATGAAGATGTCAGGCATGCTCACCAGGTCCTCAATGGCCTGCAGCTTCAGACCCAGCAGGTGCCGGTCAAAGGCCTCCCCTCGGATGGCCTGTGGGTAAAAGAACTGTGTCAGAGGCAGGTGCTGCAGGGTCACAGGGCATCCCTGCCCTCCTCAGAAACCTGTGGCAGTGCTGACCCTTCCAGACACTGGTCTCTTAGAACCATGAGACCAAGGCGTCCAGGCAGAATTGTCCTCACCCCCCAGATGGGGAAGCCCAGGGTAACAGGGCAGACTTCTGCCCAGGGAGGCAGGGCATGTAGGATTAAAACACAGGGGAGAGCTATAGAGTGCATGGAACATGGCCAGTGCCTGTGTGTGCCATGTAACAAGGGCAGGCCTTATACGTGCTGTGTAATAGGTGATGTCTGTACGTGTGTTTAACAGGGCAATGTTGTGTGACATGGGGCAGTGTGTACTCCATACGACAGGCAGTGTCTGTGTGTGCCTTGTAGCATGGGCATGCACTGATGGCCACACCACCTTCCTGGCTATAGCCTCGACTGCTGGAGAACAGGAGAGGTGCCACGTAATGGGCCTCTAGAGAGAGTGAGAAACCCAAGATCAGAGGACCTGTGCTCACTGGGATCATGGAACTGGCACCAGAGCAGTTACTACGATGATCCTAGTTTTACCAACTTTCAAATGGCGTTATTAATTTAAAATAGATTTCCAGGTGCTCCAAAACTCTGGGAAGAGGTAGTTCTTAGCAGGAATGGACAGGAAGATGGACAAAAAGGCAGGGTAAGGACAGTAAGGAAGGAGAACAGGGCTTACTCACTCGGTCAGTGTAGGCTCGGTGGGCCTGCACAGCCTTCCGAAGCAGCTCCACCTTCTGATGCTCCTGGAGGGGGAGCGAGGGGGGACAGAGGAAGCTGAAGCCCTGTCCCTCCTCTCCCCCTCCCACCTTAGCAGCTCACTCTGTACCCAGCACCACACAAGGGCTCAACTGCCATCTCCTTATTCTCTAGAGCCCAGCACTCATGTGCATGTGAGTGGACAGAGGTTGCCGTCTCTTACAGATACATGGTTTTGCCTCAGTGGCCAGAAAGCTCAGAACTAAATTCACGGCTCCATCTTCTGTTAACTTCCCTTTGCCCACTGTGGGCTGAGATACTGTAGAGGAGTGATCCATTGGCAGAGCGTGTGAACAGGAAAGGAGGGAGATGGCGGAAGCTCAGCCTACACACCCTTGCTCCAGACCGCTCACCGGTACTTTGGAGTCATCCATGCCTTTGACAAAGGCCAGCGAGTCTGTGGAGGCTGAGCGGATGGTGTCAGTGCGGCCCAGGTGAAACATGCGCAGAGAGGCACTTTCATACGTGGCACACGCCTGCCCATAGATCCTGGATGGGAGGTGGGTCTCAGTGCAGCCCGTTTGCCCAGGGCTGCCCCTACCTGCCCTCCCCTCCTCTGAGGGGCAGGTGATCAGGCAGGGCGCACCTGTAGTATGCCAGCTGCAGGCCTATCTGGATGAAGGCATCAGGGCTTAGCTTCTGTGACTTGGGGAAGTCCTTTCCAAAGTGATGGAATACCAGCATCATGATGTCCAGGTCCTGGATCATGCTGGGGTGGAGATGCAGAAGGCATGGGTGAGAAGCAGGCACCTGGAAGCCTCGTGGCTGGTCCTCCCCTAAAAGGGCCCAGCCCCACACTCACATGCTGATGTTCTGTTTGGCCTTCTCTATGTCGTTCTTGATCTCCGGTGTGATGTTGAACCGCAGCTTCTTGGGCATGGGCAGGGGTACCATAGGAGACCGTACAAGCTCGGGCTTTTTTCTGCACGGGACAGGGAGGCTTAAGGCTCATGCCAGTGTCACTGAAGCCTAGGAGTGTCCATGAGACTGAGGTGGGGGTGGGGAGAGTCCCTGAAGCTAGGGGTAGGAGGTTCAGAGATTGTGGGCTAGCTCCTCTGAAAACTGACTTTACTCTAGCTTTCACGAGCTCAGATGGAAGCCAGGCGTACTGGGCACATCCCTAGTCCTACCACTTAGGGGAGGCAGAGGCAGGTGGATTTCTGAGTTTGAGGCTAGCCTGGATCAGTTAGAGAATTCTAGGCCAACCAGGCTATAGTGAGACTCTGTTTAAAAACAAACAAAAAGAGGCCAGAGGGAGAGAGTCTGGGGGAAACAGCCCTGCCCAAGGTCACGAAGCTGGGAAGTTCAGGGCTAGAGGCAGACTTTAAAACACTATAGCCTCTGCGGCTTCCTTCAGCTCAGCAGTCAAGAGCGCTGGCTGCTCTGTTCTCCCAGAAGTCCTGAGTTCAAACCACATGGTGGCTCACAAACATCTATAATTGGGATGTAATGTCCTCTTCAGGTGTGCAGGCATATATGCAGACAAAGTCACCATATACATAATACATACACATATACATATACATATATATATATACATATGTAAACAAACCTTTAAAATAATCTAAGCCAGGCAGTGGTGGCACACACCTTTAATCCCAGAACTCAGGAGACAGAAGCAGGCAGATCTCTGAGTTCGAGGCCAGCCTGGTCTACAGAGTGAGTTCCAGGACAGCCAGAACTATACAGAGAAACCCTGCCTTAAAAAAAAAAATCTGAAAGAGATAGATACATTGATTCTGTTCTTCAAATGAGAGTAACATTTCTCTACAAGCTAAGTCTGTCACCTGCATGCTACCTGCCACCAGGAACTGGGGAATGAGGCTGGAATCATACTCACGTATATTCCATGACATGGTCCACAAGAGCGACAATGGGGGGCCCTTCTGCAGCTGCGTGCTCATAAACCATCCCACAGGAACCGTCTTCTGCCACAATGAACTGTGGATGAGAAAGCAGCCGTGCTGTCAGCCCCAGATTGCTGGAGGGGGGCTCCTTGGCTCACTTGCTCTCTGGGTGGGTCTTTTAGGAAGGGTTCCTGAAGCTGGCCCACTTGCTCTCTGGGTGGGTCTCTAAGGAAGGGTTCCTGAAGCTATCTCCAGTCCACTTGCTCTCTGGGTAGGTCTCGTAGGAAGGGTTCCTGAAGCTACCTCCAGTTCACTTGCAGAGCCACCCAAGTGCTCTATGCTCACATATCTGAGAGCAGATCGTCAAGAGGCACACCCCCAGCAGTTCTACTGCTCCTGTGTGTGAGCACAGAGGAAAAGTCACTCCAAGACTGCACACCGACTGACCCCAGACGGTGTCTGACATGCTAAAGGGCTCTGCTGGGGGTGTCAGTGGCATGAAGGCCTGGTAATGACAGGCTGGTTGCCTGGTAATTACAGCAGCATTCAGCCTCCTCGCTTCCTGTCTGCTTTACAAGCAGGAAGCTGGGGACATTGAGCCTAAGGAGGAGGCAGGAAGTTCAAAGCCTCGGTGAGCCAAGCTTTGGGGCCATGGCCCTGCCAGGTCCTCACTTGCCTGCAGAGTTTTGTCGAACCAGCGGTTGCCACTGTTGAACTTGCTGCCACCACCATGTAGCATCTGGCCTGCTACATGGTTGCGGTAGACATCATCTGAGACTCTGGGCACTTGCTTGTCCAGGCACACAGTGAAGATGCTCTTCTGTATGGAGTTCACCGACTCCCGGTTTACTTTGTCTGTAGGAGTTGGGGTAGGTGTAGGGAGCCTCAGAGCCCATTGTCTCTTGCCCTGGGCTCTTCTTGCTTCATGCCCCTCTAGAGATGGGGACTTCCCCACCTTTGGTACCTTCAGGGCATGTGGAAAATTGTGAATGCACAGTGAGCTTTGCCCTCAACAAATTCCTACAAGTATGCCCCATGTGGCAAAGGGCAGGGCCTAACACTTGGCACATTATAGACATAGAAAAGCAGAAGTCCAACAGTCACATGGAAAGCTGGCGTGGCAGTCCAGGATCCAAAACCAGCAATCAGCCCATGGCCAGTATGTATGGGGTTTGATGAGAATGGTTCTGGGAGCAGAGAGTGTACAAAAAGGGTACCTCAGCCAGAACATTTGTCTAAATCCAACTTGCTACTTTGCAGGGAGAAACTGGCTTTGTCAACCTGAGCCTTGGTTTTCTCATCTATAAAATGGGCCAGTACACCTGCTCCAAATTGAGAGGGTCCGATGAAATGCTAGCTGCTCCAGCTCGGGACTGAACCTGTGTGGCATGTAAGGAAGCCCCGCCCTGGAGTACCTTTGATGAGGTTGTTATAGGCCTTGGCCCAGGTGTTTCTGTGGTTGGAGGTCAGGATGCCAACAGGCTCTTTGTTGGATTGCAGTGAGGAGTTCCAGATCTTTTCTAGCTGCACAAAGATCTGATCAGAGGTGAGTGGCGTCCCATCGCTGTGGTACACGTCCAGCTCGAAGAACTGTGAGGCCAGACAGGGAGAGAAGGGGCTGAGTGATCGTAGGCAGAGAATGACCACCAGCCTTCCCTGGCCTTGGCAATGGAGGCCACAGCCAGTGCAGCCTGGGCCAGGCGAGTTGGGCTGGGAGGGGCAGGCGAAGGGCTGGGGCTGGGCACCTCGGACAGGACAGTGGTAGCCACCTGGTAGTTATGCACCACGGTTATGTGCGTGGGTGGTTTCTTTGACTTTAAGAAGTTCACCACCGAGTCTTGCTTGGGGCCAGGCACTCGGCAAGAAGACAGGATTTGATAATACTGGTGCATGCACAGCGGCTGTCCTCCCAGGAACTCGACGGGCAGCGTCTCGCTGTAGGAAGACACAGCAACGAGTCACTGGGCAGGTGGATGGGGACGAGGCTAGGGTCGACAGACGCCTGCTCTCCTACTTAGATCTGGGTGAGGGACCTGTTCCTTGGTGTCTCTACTTGCCACCAGCATGAACAGGGCGATTAGGGTGTAAAGGTGAAAATACAGGTCTTGAGACCTGTACTTTCTAGGGATTGGAGTCCTGTTTATGAGTCACCCACAAACGGCCTCCTTCTCCCTTATCTGGGCGTCAGCTTATCACAGGCAACTGTGATCCGTCTTGGCTAGGATGACAAGGTCACTGGCAGAAGTCTGGGAGCTGGAGCAGAAGACTTAAATGTCCCCACTCTCCCCAGTCACTGTCCTAAACCCCTTCCAAGGCTAGGTCAACAGGAAGTGAAAATGACGTGGGCCTGCCCAGTGCCCGTGCTGACACACTGGCTCCTCAGGGCTAGAGTCAGGGGTAGCTATGGTATTAGGCAGGTGCGGGCAAGGGTGGTTTCAGGTCGGGGCGGGGCTACTTACTTGTCAATCATGGACTTGAAATCCAATACACCCTCGATGAGTTTGGCAGCAAACCTGGGGGATGAAGCAGAGAGCTGAAGCTGTTTGGACATCTACTGGGGGACCCTGGGACAGGGACGTCTGCCAAGTGTGGGAAGGACCTGTTAAATCACCACTCCCCCCCAGGTGACACAGGCCTAAGGAATTCAAAGTAGACCTACAGTAGTGAGACCCTTCTGAACTTCTCTTCATCTCCAGTGAGGGAATGCTGGCGTCGAGAGGGGACCTGAAAGGCCCTGAGTGTTGCCCAGCAGTGGCGCACTATGGCAGGATGAGGCCAGTGGTGACTGACTCCCACCAAGGGCCAGGCCGGCCAGAAATATTCCTTATGTGGAGATTCATTACCTTGGTGAAATAGTTAAGGGGTCCAATTGTCCCTGCTGCTATGTCCCTTTCTCTTGAGTCTTTGTGTCCCCATGACACTGGTGTCAACCTCTTCCTCTTTGGGCTATTCAGGGTTTCCTGGTTCACACCAGTTATCTCCCAATGTCTGAGGCCATCCCCTATCCACTATGGATGGATAAAGAAAGAAATGTAAACTAAAGATACATTATCCAGCACGTGGGAGAGCCCAGGCTGAGCCCCAGCTGTAACCAGGAGGCCCTGGTCTCTTTACTACTTGTACGTGTGGAACCCAGGATCTAGTACATGCTGGACAATCACCAGACCACTGAGCCACACTTCTTCCTTACCCCTCTTGGCTTCTCTGTTCTTGTCCTGGTCTCTTTAAGAGAAGCTGGTGCCAGGAGTGAGTGACAGGCTCCTGGGCAGGAGATCCTGCTGCTAGTATTTTTATCTCTGGTAGGACTGGAACAGGGGCCAGGGCAGGTGACATGGCTGAATGTGGAAAAGGGGACTGTGTATAAAGGTCACTATGTGGCCACTGATGAGAGTGGGAGGGACTCAGGGCACAGTTGGAGGGTGAATGATTACAAAGCCCTGGCACTAGAAGCCTGTTCTCTTGAGTTGTGACCATGGGAGATGGTCCCCTCATTGCTCTGAGCCTCAGTTTCCCCATCTGTAAGATGAGGCTGTTGGTGGGGTAAAAGAACAAGGCCAAGGCCTTTCTAGTTTCCTAGGGTGCAGACCTGAGGGTTCTGGAAACACACAGAACCCTCCCCATGGGCACTGCCCAGCCTTGCACCAGTCTCAGACACTCACCGGAGCTGACCCTGTAGATCCATGAAGTCCTGCTTGGGCAGCATCACTCCTGGGCTGGAGTAGATGACCACAGGCTGGCGGAACTGGAGATAGGCTGTCTTGAGCCACCACTCGGACAGCTGGACAAGGACCAGAGTAGAGCTGATCAGGAGGTGCACCTGGGGTCCTCTTACTCCCCAGGAGCAGGGATCTAGCTGGCCCTGGTGTCCTCTCCTCTGGCCTCTCTGTAGGACAGTCTCCCAGGGAACGCTGAGGTTCACAGTGCCCTTCCATAACTCCTTCAACATCATCGTCCCCTGAGCTTGTGCAATCAGCACTGCCAAGAGAATAACCTGGGAAAAACAACTAAAAGCAAACTTGGCAAAGGGATAAAGCAGTGAACAGCTTTCCTCTTGTTTCTTTCTGTGTGTATGTATGAGGCTTGAACTCAGAACTCCACACACACGTGCTAATCAGCACACAGTCTGCTGAGCCCTTACTTTATCTTACAAATTCCCTGTCAATGATTATAATATAGTCCCCTGTAATAAATAAAATACATCCCTAGATATGTAGAATAAAGCACAAGGATAGCATGTAAGAAGAAAGCCCACCGGGCGGTGGTGGCGCACGCCTTTAATCCCAGCACTTGGGAGGTAGAGGCAGGCGGATTTCTGAGTTTGAGGCCAGCCTGGTCTACAGAGTGAGTTCTAGGACAGCCAGGGCTACACAGAGAAACCCTGTCTCGAAAAACCAAAAACAAAAAAAAGAAGAAGAAAAAGAAGAAGGAGGAGGAGGAGGAAGAGGAGGAAGAGGAGGAAGAGGAGGCGGTGGCCCAGAGAGTGGGTTTCCAACCATCTCCAGCTGGGAATTGTCCAAGGAGACAGCAACCTGCGTCAGGACTATCCACAGGGACTGGTGCCCCTCAGTGGCCTTAGACTAGGAGGTGGACACTGACTTTCATCTCAAAATCAGGGCAATTCTAAGGGGGAGTCTTACTCAGAGGGTAAGTTATTGTAATAGTGAGAACAAGAGGGTGTGTCCTTTCTCTGCCCCATGGATGGGGTTTCGTGGGATCAGCCATAGGCATGGAGTGAACGGCCTTAGTGCTCATTACAACTTACAGCAAGTAGGTGTTTGTCCCTAACCCCCTTTGCTTTTTATTTTATTTTTATTTATTGATCTCACTATGTATCACTGGCTAGTCTAGAGCTTTGCAGAGTAGACTAACCTCACAGAGATCTGCCCATGTGTCTCCCATGTGCTAGACATGTAGCACCATGCCTATACCCTATCTCTTATAGCTTCCTAAACCTCAAGACCTAGACCTCCCAATGTGCTCCATGCCCATCCCAACCAGCAGGAGAATGGATCTATATAACATACAGTGGCTAGTCTGTGGCATCAGGCCACTCATCCAGGGCCCCTGGTAAGAGAGAAGGGAAGGTGACTTGACACAGGCTGGGTAAACATGTGACTGCCATCTGCTGACTCATAGCCAAGGACTGGACCCCCTGAGGCATGCAGGCCTTCCTGTACATCTCAGGGTCTTCCTGAGAGCTACTGTGAGGATGTGGACTTTGGTCCATCTCTCTAGGTCTCAGCTTCTTCAGTGGTAGGAAGCGGACAGACAAGGGCTCCTTCTCATGCAGGAGCCTTCACACCTGCAGGGGTTGCAGGCTACAGTTTAGACAAGGGGAAAGGGTGCTTCCTGGCAGAGGCAGCAATGCTTCAAGGGCCCTGTGATGGCCCCAACTCTAGTCAGAGCCTTTGGCTTCAAAGATTCCTTGGCCAATGAAGTCAGAAAGCCACTAGACCCCAGTATCTCTAAGGTCCTTTTAAGGCCAGCATTCTGACTTTAATAGTCAAAGGCTCTGACCTGCTAAGGCTTGGCAAATGCTTGTCCCTAACAACTTCCACCTAGCTCTTACTTCCCACATGTGGCTCCAGATTCCACTGAGGCCAATCAACCTGTTTTCTATTGCGGTCAGCCCAGGTCCACAGGTCTACCCCACGGGGTCTGTATCTACAGATCTACCAGCTCAGATGAAGAATATTTGAAAAATAAAAACCTGCATTCATATTGAATGCATAGGCCTTTATTTTCACTTTTTGATAATGATCTCATAAATATAAACTATGTAAATAAACTGTATAAACTATATAAATTAAATATATAAATAAGCATATTTATTTACCCAGCGATTATGCTGTGTTAGATCTCCATCATCTGGAGATGACTGGGGTCCATGGGAACAGGCATTTAGGTGAGACCGAAATGCTGAACTCCCTAAGGGACTTGAACCTCTGTAGCTCTTAGTATCTGTGGGGCCATGGACACTGAAGGTGACTGTTTTTCACCCAGCTGTCCCCCACAGCCAGCTTCTTCCTCAAGCTTCTTATTAGTAACCTCCTACTTCTCCCTCCTCAGTCCCACTGTATTAGCAAGTGCCACTGGCTGTCTTCCAAACAGCCCTGGACCTCATGACTCCCTGTCTCCTTGTGTCAGGCTCAGGCACGAACACTTCCCTTTAGGTGAAGGCCTCGGCCTCGGCACTTCCCCTGGCTCCTGCTCTTGCTTCCTTCCCAGCAGCCTGGGCTTTTTTTTTCCCCCTTAATCTTTGTGTATAATGTGAATACAGAAATGTGCACTATGCACCAGTGTAGATGTATTTTATAAATTGAACTAACTTAACTGATCAGACACAGAGCCAGGAACATGTAAAGCAACCTCAGAGTGACGCAAATTCCCTGCCTCAGCTGTCCCACCAAGCTCAAGTCTACATGCCTTCCCTGACTGCCCATCCTGCTCTGAACACACTGCAGCCCAGGCTCTATCCCAAAGTAGGCCATATTGCTGCTCCTTTTTCCTCCTGCCCTCCCTCTGACAGACACTGCCATCCATATCTCTGCCTCTTTCCCCCTCAGCCCTGAGGAACTCAGAGTTTCATACATGCTAGGGAAATGTTCTACCACAGAGACACAATCCCAGCCAATAGGACCTTTTCAAAAATCTCCATGTACTGCCTCTGCTGAACATGACTTCACCTGCTGGTGTGCAATCCTGGTTATGAGCCTTCTCCGCCATGCCCCTGAGTGTCAACTCTAGGGGTGCTCTGGAGGACCTGTATATGGCCCCTGGGTGACTGTCAGGATGCTGCCACCTCACTTACCCAGTTCTCCATTTTCTTGGCCCTGCGCTCCAGTCCCTTCTGCAGGCGTTCCCCTACACCCCCTGAGGTCTGAAACTCGTCCACTAGTTGCTTGGTGTGAGCCCATTCTTCCTCACTCACGATGGGCTGCAGTGCCTTGAGGTAATGGTCCAGGGATTGCTGAAGGGGAGGCACTGGCAGTCGTGGCAGTGCATCCTGGTGGGCCTTGAAGCGGCCAGAAACCTTCATCAGGGAGGAGGGCTTGAGGAGGCCCAGGGGTTTTCCCTGTGGGATGCAGAACAGTTGGCTCATTCTCTCAGACTCAAGCACAGCTTGTGGCAAACTACAGTCCTAGGGCTTATATGCCATCCCCAGGGGCAAAGACGGCTTCATGGGTGGTGCCTGCCCTGGATGCCCAGCCCTCAAGGTATAGGAGTCCCACCTCTCAGGGGCCTAGAGGTGCAGGAAGGCTAGGAAAGGGTGGGGGTGAGGATGAATGACATTATTAGGGTGGCAGAGGTAAGGGGGCCTCCCACTTGTCAGAGTGCACAAGACCCATCATCCTTGCCCTGGGCAGATAAATCAGCCAGCAGAGAGGTGGCAGCTGGCTCTCTAAGCCAAAGCCCCCACCTTCTCAACTCCCACTTCCAGCTTGAGGAATAGGAGGGAACTGGAAATGGGTGAGCCAGTGACAGCACCTCTGGGGGAGGCTTCAGCCTCTGTGCTCTCTCTTCACTGTGGGGCGATGGTAAGGGACGTGGGCAGTGCTGCAGCAAGAGAGCCGAGTGGCCTGGCATGGAGGATGAGAGGTAGCAGAGAGACAGGGGAGGGAGTCCCGGAGACTCTGGAGGTGGCAGAAAGCAAGACAGGAAGGGCCCAGGCTGCTGGCACAGTGGCAGGCAAGCGGCAGAAGTGCCATTCCATACCTTCTCTCTCTGCTGCTCGTCCTCCATGGCAGGACTGAGGATGTGAGCCCTGTCTGTCTGCCTGGGCTGGATCTCTAAGCCTAACTGTGCTACCAATTGGACGAGCAGAAACTAGCAAGAGCAGCCACCTGCCTGGACTGGAAAGAGAAGACAAGATTCACAATTCAGGCGTGAAGGAGTCGTGAGGCAGTAGCCACTGGCATGGTAGCATCTGAAGCTGAAGCAGTGGTAGCCATTGGGCTGCAGATGCTGCTCCACCTCTCCCTAGCCTCCAGAAGAGGAGGAGTAAGGTAGGTAAGAGAGCTGGAGGCAGGCACTGAAGTAAGAGGAAACCTGGAACCTTCTCCTTTCTTCTTTGGATGGGCCCAGTGCCAGGGAAGCAAGCCAAGAGGCATTAAAAAAATCCACCTGTCAAAATCTTCATAGATCTTTTTGATGTGGGAAAACTTGGCTGGAGGGTGGAAACAGTCTGGCCGCTAACCTGTGGCCCTGAAATCAGTCCGGCTTGGGAATGGTGCAAGACAGGAGATACCAGGAAAGGGACACTAGTGGACAACTATTGCCACAAACCTGCCCATCTGTTTCCCTTCTAGACCTAGGAGCCTTTGGTGGCCACCCCTCTACCAAAATCTGTTTTGTTTTGTTTTTTAATGAGTTCTGGATCATTCAGGTTGGATCAAAAGTGGGGGAGATATAGGGGCAGCAGTACTTCTGTACTTTTGGTATGAATAATAACCCAAAGGACTCCATCTGTGGGCTGGGCTAAATTTGATTAGCAGAGCCATGGGATACGATTGTCTCTTTCCCTTAGTCTCCCCAGCATTAAAGTGGTTATGCCAGCATGGTGGTCCCAGGGGATGTTGGATGGGATACAGCTTTCGAGGAGAGCGAGGAGGGAGGGTCTCAGGTGCTGCCAGGACTGCTAGAAGAATCTCAGTCTTAGCTGCCAACCCAGTGTCTGACAGGGCAGTATAGTTCTCAGCAGTACAGGAAACTTGAATCAGAAAGGATAACAGCTCACCATTAGGATAGGTGCATAAGGATGGCGAGGGGCAGCCTGTCGCCTCCTGCCTCCTCCTGCCACCGCCTGCCTCCTCCTGCCTGTTTTGGGGATTTTCACTACTAGTCTCCACCTGAGGTTCTCTTAGCCATATGCAATGGGGGAGGGTGAGCATCTAAGGAACTCAAGGAGACTGGGCAACTGATTAGGTTTGGAGAAGTAGCTCTAGACTGGGCAGAAGCAGCAGTCTAGGGCTGAGCTCTCTAGCCAGTAGTCCCGACAGGTGTCTGAGTCCGAATAACTGAGAGCATGAAGGAGAAGTGGAGTGTAAAGGTACAAAAGACTTGAACCTAGGTTTCTCAGTCTTCTTCAGGGTCATTGACACTGAGTGCCACGGGTCTTGGGTTCGATCCCACCCCTTACCTGGTCTCCTCTGCCCACCTTGCAAATCGCACACTACTAGCCGGCGTGGGGTTCTCTTGACCACTGCTACCCTACAGCCCGAGGCCCGCCCGTCTTGTCCTGTCCAGGGCCCTTTTGGGCGTACTCACCACGGTTCTGGCAGCAAAAGCTAACATCATCCCAGTCTGTTTGCGGACACTCGGTCCGCTCCGCCCCTCGCACTGGGTAAAGTCTGCGCCACAGCTGGGGTGCTGGGGTCAGTGGGTTCGCGGCTCGGGCTCTAGGTTCAAGGTCGCCGAGTCACTGCCGCTAGCCTGTGGAGGCGGCCCCGCGGCCACCGGGCCCGGCGGGCTGCCGGTGGGGCAGGACTCACGGGGCGGAGCTTTGGTGGATCACAGTCCCCGCCGCTAGCCTGGACCCGGGGGCGGGCCCAAGCCTGGGCGTGGCCACGGAGGGAGGGGCTTGTAGAGACGGACCTGTAGCTCAGCCGTTAGCAGCCAGGCCCTGAGCTTCCGTCACGGGGTCACAACGGTAGTCACCGTCCAGCTCGTGCTCTCCGCCTCCGAAAGCTACCTAAGCTGTCGCGGCGGTCGCGTGCGTCCAAGTCTGACTGGTGTCCTTGAGCGTCACTCTTGGGGTGGCAGGAGAACACAACTGTTAACTGGGGACTGTCTCAGATTTCTTGGGTTGAGCCATGCACAAAGATGACAGGTGGCCTTGCTCCGAAAAAAATACTGCTGCCATACTTATTCCCTCTATCACCCCCCCCCCACCAAAACAAACAAAAAGGAACCCGACGCCCCGCACAAATATGGCTGCCAGCTCTGCAGTTGGCTTACAGACGGCAGCCGTTAGTGCGCATGCTCTCCGGCGCCCCGCACTAAGATGGCCGCTGCCTCTGTCGGCGCGGCCGTCGCGAGGCGGCAGTTGGTGGGCATGCTCCCTGAGTGCCTCGCACCGGCATGGCTGCCGCCTTCACACGAGTGACTGTAGTTCTCGGCTTCCGGTCTTAGCGGGCCAGCGCTTATTTCCCTGCTAGAAGCTTGGTGGAGCCGGGGAGAGGTGCGAGGTGAACGGTGAGAGGGAACCGCGAGCATCCGCTCCGGCTCCTGACCGAGAAGATGGCCGAGGGTGAGCGGCAGCCGCCGCCAGGTAGGGCGATTGGAGGGCCCGGCGTGCGGGTAGGAAAGGGGTGTGGCTCGGGGGTCCCCGGAGTGTGAGGAGATGGAGGGACGGAGGAGGCGAAGCTGACGGCCGGGGGTGGGGGTGTTGAAGGGCCAGAGCCCTGGGCTGCAGGCGGGTGGCGGGGAGGGCGTCCCACCTCGGGGAGCCCAGGGTTATCGGGGGGCCGGGCGGGCAGAGCGGTCGAGAGGGGCAGAGCGCGTTCAGGTAAAAAACTCCTGATCTGGTGGCAGAGTTGCCTGAGGTCGGAGCGAGAGGGATCCAGGAGGCTACGTTCTTTATGAAACTGCTCGAGTGGACCTGGGCCTCGCTCGGACGCCAGCCTCCTCCATGCCCTGCCCACCCTGCATCTCCTTCCCTCTCTCCCGCCCTCCTGCAGGCTTGGCTCTGGGGGTTTCAGTATCTGCAGAGTTAATTGAGAGAAACTACCCGCGGTGTCTAAACCACTAATTTAAAAAGGCTGTTTGGCAAGATGAGAGGGTTGGTGGCATCATCGTCCGTAACTTTTATTTACACTGTGGCCTTGTTGTGGTCCATCTCAAGTAACTAGGGCAGAGATAGATGCTCCAGGAGAGAGACAACCCCCCCCCCCCACCCTTTCCTGGAGGAGGAGAAAGCTGTTTGCTGGTTCTGTGTAGTTAAGAAGGACTGGAAAATTCTTACAGAGAATGGATAGGTTGGCTAAACTCAGCTCATACTTTGAAAGTGTTCGATGATTCTTCCACCACAACTTCCTATTTTGTGGTCCCAAATGAAGTCTCAGGAGGGAGAAAATTTGAAAAAGAGGCACCATTTCTGTGCCCCCCAAAATAGATGAGCACAGTGGAATTCAAAACCAGACATTTATTTTAAATTATACAAAACCTCTATGAATGTGTCCTGATCGATTTTAGTGTTGACATCAAGAGATAATAGCTATTAGGTGATCAGACTCTTTTTTGAAATGAGTGTCTCTGAAGATGACAGGACTATAGGAAAGGGAAGTTCAGGACCAGAACTTTCGTACTGGAGGGGAAAAGAAACCAACCAACCTCAGAGAGGTTGTGAACATTTTCAAGTTACACAGACTATATGGCAAGTCACCATGTGTCATTTAGTAGACTGAAGCTGACGAGACTGTGGCTCAGTATGGGTGCCTGCAGCCAAGTCTGGCAGCCTGAGTTGGATTCCTGGAACCCACAAGGCAGAAGGATGGAACTGACTTGAATGTTGTCCTCTGACCTCCATACACATGCTGCGGCTCATACACACATACACACACAGATGTAATTTTAAAATGAGGTTATCAAACTTCCTCCTGGAGTTGTCGTTTGTGGTAGTCAGAGGTGAGCAGAGCGTTTGGGTGTGGTGAGTCCTCACCAGATGCAGACATGTCACATATGGGAGGTGATAATCCAGCACCCTCTTGGGGTTTTGTGTGTGGGTTGTTTTGTTTTGTGACAGGTATCACCTTGTCTCTCCAAATCCCCTGGGACTTTTCGTTTTCCTCCTGACATCCCCAGACAGACTCTGTTCTCTGCACTTGCCACATATCCAGAACTTGTTTAGGACTAGAACTCACTGTGTGGACCAGACTGGCCCAGAAATCCACCTGCTGCCTTTTGAGTGCTGGGATTAAAGGCTTGCACTGCTGTATCCAGCTTGTGCTTTTGATACAAGGTCACTGGCTAAAAATCACCTTAGTAGCCAAGAATGACTTTGTGTACCGGATCCTCTTGTCTCCCCATTCCAAGAGCTGGGGTTATAAATGTGGGTCACCATGCTGAACTGGTTTGTTTTGAGGCAGGGTCTCACTATGAGCCCAAGACTGGCTAGAATGGGGGGGTCCTTCTGTCTCTACCCACTGAGCGTTGGGATTGCAGTGACGTGCTGCTTGTGCTCATCTCCTCACTAGCTGCTGGGCTGCTTTTGGGTGTTATGATCCAGAGTCTCTGGGTTCCCTGTCAGAGGCAACCTGAGACTGGAGAGGCTGTGAGTGTGATCTCTCTTATAGTCTTCTCTCTGAAGGCTTATTAGCTTCGTTTGCTTGTTTGTTTTTGATTTGGGTTTGTGTATTCTGCAGACTGTTTCTTCAGTGACTTACTCTTTTGCCTCACAGTGACTTAGCCAGGCCTGGAGGCCTTCTTCTCTGTGAAGTAGTGTCTTATAGGGACTAGGCCTTGTACAGGAGGGCTGGATCCCAAAGATGCAGTAGGTTGCTTTGTTTGTAGCTTGGTGATTTGGGATGGGGAAGACATTTCTCATAAAATATGTCCCCATAAACTATGGTTAGCTCACCAGGCTAGCTTCAAAGCTTTTTATTTAGCGTCTTACTTCAAGTAGCAATTTACTTTTTCGAAGGGCCTCGGATGGGGCTGTGGGAAAAGGTGTGTGTGGGATGGGAGGAGGAGTGGGGGGTGGCTTCTGGACTCCACCTGCATGTCCTTTCCCTCCCCTCTGGTTTACTTTTGGGTTCTGCCAAGGCTAGAAAGCTTGTCTTGCTCTTATCTCATTTTCTAGCCTTCCCTTCAGTCTCCAAATGCCCTGGATTTCTCCAAGCAGGCTACCCCATACACAGAGCCGCTCCAGGCCCCTGTGGCTTTTTCTGCTTGTAGCTATGGCTGGGTTTTAGAGGAGCGCAGCACGGGCAGGTATGTTATGTGGAGTCCCATCATTCACCAGTCCTGAGAGTTGCATTTTTAAAGGAGATGCTTACTGAACCACCACGTCTCCAATTGCAGACTCAGGCTGAGGTGTTCTCTGAAACCTTGGCAGGTGCATTTGGGATTCATTTTCTCTGTGTTAAAGGAGGTGCACTCTTAACCAAGCAAAGTCATTTCAGTGTGTAAATGCCTTCACTAGGTATCAGCTACACCAAGCCTATGAGTGCCCACATACTAGTCTGTAAACTTACTTAAAATAACTGGGCTTTCAGACTTTGGGGGACTTTGGAAAACATAATTTTAAAAGTAGAAGGCACTTTTGAATTGTGCTCCCTAGAGATGACTGGCAGAGCTTTGCTGTTTAATCTTTTGTAGAGTGTGAGTTGTTTTTACAAGAATGGGGTTATACTAAGAACTGTGGGGTTTCCTCACTTGTTAGTGTGTAGAAGTTCTTTCTACGCCTGTGATACAGAACAGATACTTATTTCTTTAAAAAAAAAAAACTGTGTGTGTGTGTGTGTGGGAGGGAGCTAGAGAGGTTAAAAGCACTGGCTGCTCTTCCAGAGGTCCTGAGTTCAATTCCCAGCAACCATATGGTGGCTCAGGACCATCTGTAATGGGATCCAGTGTCCTCTTCTCATGTGTCTGAAGATGGCCACAGTGTATTCATATAAATAAAATAAAGAACCCCCCCACAGTGGTGGCCCACACCTTTAGTCCTGGTACTTGGGAGGCAGAGGCAGGTGGATCTCTGAGTTGAAGGCCAGCCTGGTTTACAAGAATGAGTTTCAGGATAGCCAGGGCTCCACAGAGAAACCCTATCTTGGGGGAAAACTATAAAGCACCAGGATGCGATAACCCTGGCACTCACTCATAAGTCTGAAACGAGCCTTGCCGTGAGTTCTAGGCCAGTCTGGGGAGCATAGTGGGTTCAGGTCAGCCTGTTTGAAAACAGGTTTAAAAACACAAAAAACGGACTGGAGAGATGGCCCAGAGGTTCAGAGGTTGGCTACTCTTTCAGAGGGTCTGGGTTCTGTTTTTATTTGGTTCCTTCTTCTCACCTAGTTAGCTGTGTTCTTGGGGACTCTGCAAACATGGATTCTATCAAGTGTGGACCAAAATGCAGATTCTTTTCTTACCGTGACTTCAATGGTGTGGTATGAGAACTACTTACGTGGCATTATACTGTATCAAGCATTACATAATCTTAACATACAGAGGAGAGTATGTGGAGGCCATACTCAAATAGGACACGTTTTCTACACGGGACCCGCCCATCTGAGGATGTTGACATCCACACTAAAGGGGCTGAAGCAGATCTCCCACATTACCACGTAGCGACTGTCCTTGCGGTTGAGGTCTTGAAGCTCTGGTCACCATTTTGATATACCACATTATCATCTTTCATCCAGTTCAAAACATTATTTGTCTTGTGATTTCTTTGTTGGTCCAGAGGTAATTTAATGGTGTGCCGCATGATTTCAACATATGTAGAGTTTCTTTTCACATATCTTTTTTTTTTAATTATTGATCATTGGGGAATCTCACATCATACACTCCCAATCCCTCATGTCTGCCCCACCCCGTTTCCCCTGACCTCCCCTCCCCCAAAAGAAAGAAAATCCAGCTCACTTTGTGTTGTTCATATACGCACGGGCGCCCTCCGCTTCTTGTGCCCGGCCCCCCCCCCCCCCCCCCCCAGGGGCACCCTGACCAGAAGCCATCAACACTGATGACTTGAAGCCTTTAAACATTTGGGCGAGGGCTTCTGGTTCCAGGTAAAGTGAAATGACATGTTCTCCTTTAACAGCAGTATGCAGTGTAGTTGAAGTATGTGCACACATTCTTGGAAGACTTGGAGAAATAAACTGCAATAAAGTCTTTGAAGGAAAAAACACCACAGTGTTGTATGTGGTGGTGCACAGCTTTATTCCCAGCACTGGGGAGGCAGAGGCAGGTGGATCTCTGTGAGTTCAAGACTAGCTTTGTTTGCATAGACAGTTTCAGGCCAGCCAGGGCTATATAGTGAAAGCTTATGTTAATAAAAACAAAAAACAAAAAAGCCACCAGACTTTGTCAATGAGTTGATGTGTGAGGCTCTTCATGTCTCTGTTGCCAGGACCACATGGCAGCTCACAACTGTCTAACTAGTTTCACCTGAGTGTATTTGGGCAAAAAAACTCATACACATAAATTTAAAATAGAATTTTAATAATAAAAAAACAAAACACAAAAAGAAGCTAGGCATGGTTGGGCACAGCTTTAATCTCAGCCCTTGGGAGGCAGAAGCAAATGAATTTCTGAGTTCAAGATTAGCCTGGTCTACAGAGCAGAGTTTAAGGACAGCCAGGCTACACAGAGAAACCGTGTGTGTATGTGTGTGTGTGTATTGTATATATCTGTATACCAGGAAATGGGAGTTGAGGAGACAGGGCTTACAACAACAAACAAGAATCATGCTGGAGAGATGGCTCAGCAGGTTAGGACAGCTAGTGGCTACACAGAAAAACTTTGTTTTGGTGGGGGGGAGGCGAGCGAGCGAGCTGGGTACGGTGTCCCACTCCTTGATCCCAGCACTTGAGGTAGAGCTCTCTGAGTTTGAGGCCAACTGGGGCTGCATAGAAAGAGCCTGCTTCCAAAAAACCAGGGAGGACCTGGAGGGAGAAATTATTCACCTGCTTGCCTTTTTTTTTTTTCCTTCATCAAGATTCTTCAGAGGAGACCCCTCCAGCTACTCTGAACTTTATCATTCCAAAAAAGGAGATCCACACAGTTCCAGATATGGGCAAATGGAAGCGCTCTCAGGTACGAGTGGTGCCTGCACCTGAGGGTTGGAGCAAGCGTGAGAACCTGAGGCTTTTCAGTCAGCGGCTTTCCAGGCAGGCCAGGCTTAGATGGCCCTGGCCTTTCCTGCTCTTGGCACCTGAACTGTCAGTCCTACGGAGGGGATGAGGACAGCTGGCTGCCCCACTCCCTCCCAGGCAGTGCACACGGTTGCCATGTCAGGAAGGTTTGACCAGAGCATCCTACTCTGCTTAAATCATTCACTGTTCCTTCGATGGTGTACTGGATACACCCGAGTCTCCTACAAATGTAAGAGCCAGTGCAACAGAGGGAGAAGAGACTAGTTTGTGGTCACCTCGGCCAGGAACATGACCACACTAATAATAGCTAGGAATTGAAAGCCAGTGTCCCAAGAGTGGGCTGACTTTCCCTGCTGCTCAGCCCAGATGGTTGGCAGAAGAAAACAACTTAGACTTACAGTCCAGAACTGAGGAAAAGAAAGACCACTTTGAATTCTTAGGAAGGGACTTGAGCCCGGCCAGCTCCAGTCAGGCTCTAACGCCAGGTCTACAGCTGCCACGGAGAATGTCATTTGTACAGACAGTAGGCACAAGGGCTTGTGTGACAGATTGTCCATGCCACAGCCATGTGCCTTACTCCATGGAGTAGGAAGAGTCACAGGAGCCTGTCCCTCTTTCACAAGCCTGCCCTCTGACATTTGCAGATGGCTATCATGTCCTTTTCCGACTGTTCACCAGGTTAAGCACTTAGTCTCTTTGGCTGCTCTTTAGCGCTTATGGTACAGATAGAGAGAGCCCTTTGTCATCTCTGTTGCTCTGCCTCTGAGTTTCTCAGTCTCAGCACCATTGATGTTTGGGGATAGTTGAATCTTGTAGGGGTCAGCCCTTGAATGGTAAGCTCAACCCACTAAATGTCACCATACACTATCTATACCTATACCTTCCCAGCTAAGAACGATTCTTTATCTGGATCTAGTTATTTTGTCTGTGACACACCTTTTACATTCCATGGCATACACTAGCTCTGCCCTGGACAAGGGCTTGGTCCTGGCCTGTGTGGGAAAATGTCTGTGCTTGATCCCCCTTGGCCTGCTGGAGGCTGTCCTGTAGGCTGGTAAGAGGACCCTAGTGTAGACTCGTCCCCTTTAAATGCCAAATGCCTGTTTCCCTGGCTCGTTATGGGTGTTCCAGCACCCACAGACTAGATGAAGAGGAAGAAATGAAAACACAAGATGGAATGGAGGCATTTGCTCTCAGAAACTGATTCCCTGGGGGCCTAGGGCCTGGTGGGTTTTCCTCCCCGTGCTATGGTAACCTACAACCCAACAGGAAGAAAGTGCAGTTGGAAGTGGGACTGGTAGACCTGTCTGTAGGCAGGAAACAGCTCCTACTGGAAGCAGAGACTTCGCACTATAGCTACCCTCCTTACCTGGGACCTGGCTGGAAGATGATCTGGGAAAGGGAGTGCTGGGGGTGTTCCTTGAACTCCTGTTGGTGCTGTCTGGGTACTAGTCAGACATTTGGTACTCAGCTGCAGAGGTAGGCTAGCAAGGGTCCGGGTCTCATGAAACCCTGGGCGTGGAAAACCATGGCAGATTACCTCCTCCCTTGAAATCTAGTCTCTGCATTAGTAAAATGGTGACAGTAGGGTCCCATGGGACTGTCTTAATAGCACTCAGAGCCTAGGCTGCAGGTTGGGGTGCTTTTGTTCACTGCGGTGCTGGCTTCATTGATGGGGAAAGATGTGTGCATTTGGTACTCTGTGTCTCCTTCTAGTACTAGGTTGGGAGTGGGAGCTGGGGGACCTTGGGTGGAGCTGGAATGGATGAGACCTGACCCCCTCTTTCTTCTGTTCTCCCTGCTTTTGCTAGGCATATGCTGACTACATCGGCTTTATCCTTACCCTCAATGAAGGTGTGAAAGGGAAGAAGCTGACCTTCGACTACAAAGTCTCTGAGGTAGGCGCAGGCAGAGAGCCTGCTGCAGAGCCAAGCAAGCTGATCACAGCAGGCAGGTACAGACAGTAGGTTGTCCCAGGACAGTGCAGTGAGCATTCACGGCCCATAGGCCTAATGTTTTAAATCTATGAATAAAATAATATTTATAACTGAGATCAAAGCAAATATGCAGTTTTATAATCTGTATTTTTTTTCTAATTGATATTTTTATTAATCTTGAAATTAAAGATGACATAAGGGGCTGGAGATGTGGCTCAGTGGCCAGGTGCTTGATTAGCATATGCACAGCCCTGGGTTCCGTGCCCAATGCTGGAGAAAAAGCAAAGGAGGTAGATGAGTTTGTGGGGAGATCACTAGCAGCAGCATGTGTGGCATCAATGTGGTAGATCACCACAGACTTGGCATGCGTTGGGTCCTGAGTTCAAACCCCAGCACTACAACTGCCCAGGGCAACCCCAGTAACAGTGCATGCACACTTCCTGTCTGTTGACATAATTGGCATACCCTATTCTATTGAGAGAGTCCCTCATTTGTTTAAACTTTCCAGCTGCATCTCTGGGCACCCAACAGCAAGATCTGTAGACCCTGTTTCCTCAAGCTTCGTTCCTAGTGGAAACACTGAGTAGATAGCACAGGCAGGCTCTTGCTTTTGGTTTGAGCACCGTGTAATAGGTGCTCAGCTTGTTTTAGAGACTTGATAATGCAGGTAAGACATGAGCTGGAGGCCAGGCTCACCTCTGTCATTGGAAGGTGGAGTCTTCCATTCTGTATGCCGTTCCAGTGTCATCTCCCAGAACTAGGTCCCAGGCCTCCAGTGGCCTCTTGGGTTCATGTCCCAGTTGGCCCAGAGCCTGAGCCTCTTATCTCTTGGCGCTTTGGCTCTCTGCCCTCTGGGCACAGCTGGGCTGTTGGGCAAGGCTCTGGCCTAGTTTCTTCATCTGTCCCAGCTGAGCTTGCCCTTTTTTACCTTCCTACCAGGTTCCCAGTAAGTCACTTCTTGGCCTGTTGGCTTCTGGGGGACATAGTCTGGTTCTTTATATGAGATGGGAGTTAGGGCTTCACTGGGGAGAGACAGATGTCCCTTGAGAGCAAGCCCACAACTGACTTCCTGGGTTGGCTCTTCTTGGGCTGTGGCTTGGACATAGGCTAACTGGCTGAGCTCACCAGTGCCCAGTGTGCTGGAGACATCAAGGGGGGCCTAATTAAGGAGAATGCCGGAATTATCCGCAGATGCTGAGCTACCAATCCCTTTGGGGTCTCAGTTGCTCCCAAGGCTCCTTGGGACTTATCCTCACTGACTGGGGCTGGCTTTGGCTGTTCTTTTGGCAGGGTCATACCATGTTTTACGCTGAGAGGGTTTGCTAGCTATCACGTCACCTCCTGGCTGAGTGGTTTACAAACTCCATTTTTTTTTTTAATGTTGGGGATAGAATCCACCCCTTTGCACATGCTAAGGCAAGAGCTCTACTACCGGACCACATCTCCGGTTCTATTCCTTGAGACTATGTCCTCCCCCTTCTCTCTTTCTTTTTTGAGGTTAGAGTCTTGCTATAGTCCTGGCTGGGCTGGAATTCACTGTGTAGACTAACTGGCCTCAAACTTGATATCATCCTGCGTCTGCCTTCCAAGTGCCAGGATTACAGCCTGTTAGCACCACACCCAGCTTTTTTTGTCCTTTCTGGCCACCTGTAGAGTGGCTGGCTCCTCAGGGTGCATGCTGTGAGGTGGAGAGCCACTGGGGTCCCAGATCCAGGGCTTTGCCACATGCTGAATGGCTCTGCTGTTGTTAGCACTCTATGTCAGAGGCTTCACTCAGCTCTAAGGTTCCATCAGATGTTGTTGCTTTAGCAGGGCCCCTCCTGAGCTAGGTCCATCTCGATGCCCACCGCACCCACCGCACCGGCGCACTGGGTGTAGAGCCATAGCCAGTTTGGTCTCCAGAACTGTCCTTTATTGGCTGGGGCAGCAGAAGGTACCAGTCATAACAGCACAGATGGCTCAAGAGAGAGTGGAGCAATGTAGACTAGTGACTTCCATAAAACTTGAAGCAGGGTGAACCATAGCCAGGTAGAGTTTGTCTAGACCCATGAGGACAAGTTGTTCCTAGATTTTACCCATGCTAAGTACTAGGGAGGTAAAGTTTAGTTCCCAGAAACCATGTGGTGGCTCACAACCATCTGTAATGGGATCCGATGCCCTCTTCTGGGGTGTCTGAAGACAGCTACAGTGTACTCATATACATACAATAAATAAATAAATCTGAGAGAGAAAGGGAGAGGGAGAGGGAAGAGGGAGAGAGAGAAGGGGTGGAGTTTTGTTTGTTTATTGAGATAGTATCTTTATAGTCTTTGTGTGGCCTGGACCTTACTATGTGGACCAGGCTGGCCTTGAACTCACACAGGAGGCCTGCCTGCTGAGTGCTGGAATGAAAGGCATTTGTTAGCACACCCTATTTTTTTTTTTCTCAAATCTTTGTTTTTAACATCCTGAGGGGCAGAATGACAAGTTAGTAAGTGTAATTTTAGAGAAGATTTTAGCGGTCCATGAAGTTTAAGGGGCACTGCCCTAGGAGTGGGAGGAACACACGTTATTCTTTGTACCTTGAGGTGGGATAGGGTGGCTCAAGGCTCCAGTGCTCTGAGTTCAGAAGGAGGAACTGGGAGTCTTAATTACTCATTGGCCCAGCTGAGCCAGCTTCGGGGGTCCAGGCTCCTACTGGCCTCAGGAGCCAGTTCTTTATCCCCTTTAGTGCCTTGTCTGGGCCATAAGCAGAGATCTTCAGGGAGCCTGGTGCTTCCTAGGACTAAGATGTCCCAACCTCCTGTATGCCAGAGTTGCTCTGTGAAATGGGCTTTGGTTCTTACTTAGCAGCAGTTTCTAGTGACCTGGTTCCTCACAAAGCCTGGCTTTGACAGTACTTGCTCAAGACATCTTTATGTCACACAGCCAGCCACTGCCTCAGCCTTCGGGCAGCTTGCTCCTTCCCTGCCCCAAGTGTAGGTGAAGACTGTGGAGGGCACACTCAGGGCCATTGTTATGCTGTGCAGCAGGGAGCAGGCTCTTCTGTGACTGTGGCTTCTGAGTTCCTGCAGCCGCAGACCCTGGCCAACAGTCCCTGCAGATACAAAGAACTTAAGATCTCAATATTGCAGGGCGCTTGTGTGGTTTAATAATAAAGTCCCAGAGACATCTATCTAGTTTAAAGCCTGTTTGCTGTGGCAGTCTCTCAGCTAGACTTTGACTTAACCGATCTCTCTGCCATTGCATCTCCCCACGAGGCTCTCACTGCCCTGCCTCCCTGTCTTGTTTCTGTCCTTCCTTCTGTCCTGCTGTCTGCCTGGGTTTTCCTATCAATCTTGCTGTCCCAGCTCCTGCTGTTTACTCTTCGTCATGCAGAAAGCCACACTCCCTACTGAAGCAGTTGGCTTTGGGGACTATGTGGCCTTCTTCAAGGCAGCCTGCCTTTCTTTGTTGAGCAGGTGAGGAAGTGGTGAACATTTACATATCCTGTTAGCCTGGTACTGATTCAATTAACTGTTGACAACAAAGGAACATACTTTTTTTTTATAGCCAGTAAATACAATATTTGTGGGTTATCCCAACACCAAATGTGAGGGCAAGGATGTATATATACCTCTTAAGGCACAAGAGCCTGCCACAGGGCAATGAGACATACTTATGCTTGCAGACCCTGAAACTGGACCTCTTTCCACACCAGTGTGGACACAGAATGTGTGATTCCCTAATAGTCCTCCAGGCTGGGCCTCAGCATGTCTACCTAACCAGAGCCTTTCCTGGGTTCATGCCTGTTCCTCACCTAGTTCCAAGATCTGCAGGAGATGTCTCTTTGTACTGTGCATTCCCATTGGCATGACAGGATCTGTTTCCTGGCTAGAATCCTTTTCCCAAGGCTTCCTGGCCTTGAGTTGCTCCCTCATTACTTCATCTTCCAGCCCTTAATCCTGGCCTGTTTCTCTGAGCCAGACCTGCACTTGGAGGGAGCATCCTAGCTACCTCATTGATTTGCCTTGTGTCTCTGGATAGAAGCCTGACCTGTAACTAAGAAGGTATAGCTGATGTCTCCCACACCTGTGACATCAGCTTTGCTTCCTGGCGCTGTTTGCAGGGATGATATGGAGAGATGGGGTCTCAGGCTCCCAGCCCTCAAAGTTTCATACAGATGACCCCAGATTTACACCAAGATGGCATTGCAGAATTGTGACCCAGTATTTTCTGCAGTGGTAAAATATGAAAATAGCCCAGACATTGAATAGTGAGGACCATTAATCCTCACTGGTGTGGAAAGACGTTCAGGGGGAGAGGAACAGGCTAAGGCAGCTGTCCATGGTCCAGTTTCAGGGTCTGCAGACATAAGTATATCCATCGCACTATGGCAGGCTCCTGTGCCTTAGGAGGTATATATAGATCCTTGCCCTCACATCTGGGATGAAGAAACAGAAGCCCAAATCTCCAAGCAGCTCAGTGCTCTTCTAATGGAGGATTGGAGCCATTCCTATCTTCCTGTAGAGTTCTTATGCTGTTGAGCAGTGGAGAGCAGTAGAGAAAACAAGCCAGGCTGCTAAGATGTAGGTGGTAGTTGTTTTTGGAGGTCAGGATTACTGGCTGTATTAGGTACTTGTCTTGTTGCTGTGATTGGGACCTGACAGGAAGTAGGGGGTTTATTCTGGCAGTTGATCATGGTGGAGAAAGCAGGACAAGCTGAAGGGTTGTGAGGCTCCACAGTGAGGACGCAGAGAATCGAGACTGGTGAGCAGCTCGCTCTCTTTTCTCCTTTCCATTCAGTCTGGGGGCACACCTACAGGATGTACCCACACTCAGTCAAACCAGCTGAAAGATGTTCTCAGGCAGACACAGCCCTGGGGTGATTTTGAGTGTCTACACAGTGTTTTTAAGTGGTCATGACAACAAATTGTCTTACTTAGTATTTCTAATAAAGCATCGTAACCAAAAGCAACTTTGGAGAGGAAAAGTTTTATTTCACTTTACAACTCAGGTCACAGTTTATTACTGAGGGAAGCCAGGACAGGAACTTAAGCAGAGGCCATGGAAAGTGCTGCTCACTGGCTTGCTCACCCTGTTTCTTGTAGAACCCAGAAGCACCATTGTCCACAGTAAGTTGGGCCCTCCCATATCAATCAAGAAAATGTACCACAGGCTTGCCCCATAGGCCAGTCTGCTGGGGTGTTTTCTCAGTTAAGGTTCCCTCTTCTTACATGACTCTAGCTTCATTAAATTGACATAAAACTAGCTAGCAAAGAGCTGAAGCACCACACTGCGTTTTTCTCTCTTCTGTTCATGTGTCTGTGTAATTCAGTGAAGGTCTTCAATCGTATCTGCTTTAACAAAGATTGGGGCTGGTGTTTGTTTTTGGAACTACGCATGACACTCTCCTGTTAGCCAAGTGTGATTCCTTCTTTGAAGGGAAGGTTGCTCCCTGACCCACCTTCATATTCTGGACAGTTGGGAATGAGGGTGGACAGCTAGGAGAGCTCCCAGCCTAGGGAACTTCCTTCTGTGGCCCCAGCAGGGCCACTAGTCATTGTGGTATGTGATTCCTCTGTTGCACCTTCACAGGCCATTGAGAAGCTGGTGGCACTTCTTGATACGCTGGATAGGTGGATTGATGAAACCCCGCCAGTGGACCAGCCTTCCCGATTTGGGAACAAAGCCTACAGGACCTGGTATGCCAAACTTGATCAGGTGAGCCTGACTGTCAGAGCCCGGGCTGGGCTGGGCCAGTGGGAGGACTACTGTGGTCCCAGAAGGGGCAACTGTGTGTTCAAAGCAGACCTGTGGAGTTTCCAAGCATAAAAGCAGGAAATTTGTCAGAATGACAATTTTATTTACCTAAATTACAAAATCATTCTCTCCCAGCCAATCTACTGGGAACAGCAGGTGTGGTTACATAGTGTCCTTTATGAGGCTGCTTATTAAGTCATTTTGTTAGCAGCAGATTGGGAATGATTCAGGTACCCATCATAAGAGGACAAGTTAACTGTACTAGACCACCCGTCTGTGAGTACTATGCAACTATGAAAAAGAGTAAGGAAGCCAGGTAGTAGTGGTGGGGACTGTGCACGCTTTTAGTCCCAGCACAGGGGAAGCAGAGGCAGGTGATCCCTGTGAGTTTAAGGCCAGCCTGATCTACAGATTGAGTTCAGGACAGCCTGGGCTACATAGAGAAACTGTTTCAGAGAAAACAAACAAAAGTGAAAAAGAATAAGGAAAACCTAGGCATGGTGGCACACACTCTTAATCTCAATATTTGGGTAGCAAAAGCAGGTGGATTCCTCTGAGTTCTAGGCCAATCTGATCTTGAACAAGTTCTCTGTCAGCCAGGATTATATATTAACAAACCAAACCAAACAAACAACAAAAACAGTGTAACTTGAAAAAGCCCCAGTCTTTAAATAACTCTAACACTTAAAAGATCTCAGTTCTCCTTAAAATCTGAATCTTAGCTGGGCTCCTATAAAACAAGAAACAAGTTATATGCTTTCTTATTTCAAAACCAGGGAGCTTCAAAGTAGAGTTATGATCAGATGAAAGCAGAGCTGAACTCCAACAGTGCAGAAAACTCAGGTTGTAACATCTGGAATTCACACATCATCTTCTAGGCTCCAACGGGCTTGTGCACCCCTGCTTCTGTCTCTGCCATCTGCAGCGCACACAGCTTGTCCTGTAGGCTCAGGTTGGCCCTACACTACACCTTCTGCTGTCCTGTGGTTTCTACCACAATGGAGGCTGCCCCGTCTCTAATAGCCCCCATAGCTCGGCCTTTCTTCAGGGACCAGGACCTTATCATTTGGTGTTCATCGTCAGCTTCTCTCCTCCATGACTCCTTCATGCCTTGCCATGTGGAGACTCTTACACATTGCAAAGTTCAGCTCCATCTTGAGACACAGCCTTGCCCCCAGGACCACAGCTTTCTGTCTACTGACCCTAGTGAATGAAATATTTCCCAGAAGAGTTCTCTGTAATAATGCTGATCTCTTACTAATCCCAGTGGATTTCTCAGCACCAGCTGGCCGGAAACCATCACATGAACAGCCTTTATAGAATCTGCTTCTTTGTAAACTTCACAAGACAGGCCCCCGTTGTCTGCATTTCTTTCAACATTCATCCAAGCTTCCACAGAACAGCCCACTAAGCTCTGAGGACTTGATGTCTTTTCCAGCTCAGAGTTCCAACCACTTCCCCAATCTTCCAACAAAATGTGGTCATCGATACAACACCCTACTCCTGGAACCTGTTTCTGTTCTTTTGGTCATGGTGTTCATTGCAGCAACAGAGACACAAACTGTAATCATTAGAAATTCTGTTTTACTTCCAGAATCCATTCTTCATTTTGGTTTTGTTTTTATTTTTTAAAACTCAGGTTGGCGACTCAGATCGAAGTTTTTAAAATCAAATATTCTCTGTGGCTGGAGAGATAGCTCAACAGTTAAAGAGTACCTGCTACTATTTTTTGAGATAGTCTTTCTAGTTCATCCTGGCTGTCCTGGAACTTGCTCTGTAGGTTGGCCTCAAACTAACAGAGATCCTCTTTTCTCTGCCTCCTGGGTATTGGAGTTAAAGGCCTATGTCACCATGAACAGCCATGCATGGGCTACCCTTACAGCAAGCCTGACTTCAGTTCCTAGAGCCCAATTCTAACAACTCCCTGTAACTGCAGTGCCAATGAATTCAGCATCCTCTTTTGGACTCCAAGGGCACTTGCATGCACGTGATAACACATACATGGTATAAAGCATACACATGTTTATAACAAACCAGAAAAACAAGTCAAATATCTTAGTATAATCTAGAGGTACATTAACTTGATTGATGGCAAGAGGAACACTAGAAGTCCTTGTTTTCTGCAGTTAAGCTGTTCTGTTTCTGTTAGAGAACGTCTTGTGCAGAGAACGTCTTGCAGGTCATAACTGACCAGAGTCCCAACATCTAAGTCTGTGTGTGTCAGTCAGGGTTCATTGGCGTTGTGTAGCATAATGGCATACATGACAGCATGCATGGTACAGAGGTGCCCGTGGTGTGCTTAGAACCAAGGCCGTACTGACACGATGCAGCAGAGGAAAGCGCTACCAAAACCACTGTGGACTCACAAATGCGCTGAGGTGGTTTTTTTTTGTTTTTGTTTTTTTTTTTTTGGTTTTTTCGAGACAGGGTTTCTCTGTGTAGTCCTGGCTGTCCTGGAAATCACTCTGTAGACCAGGCTGGCCTCGAACTCAAAAATCCGCCTGCCTCTGCCTCCCAAGTGCTGGGATTAAAGGCGTGTGCCACCACCGCCTGGCTAATGCACTGAGTTTTTAATGGGTTTCTGCCGAATGCCATAAAGTCTGTCCTGTGCCATGCCCCCAGCTCGTGCTTGAGTAGGCGCTGTGAGACTCTGTCCCCAAGGTCTTAATCTTGGGAAGAAGTTGCCTCTTGGGAGCATCTGGGAAAATACAGCTTTGGGTCTCTGTGGAGAGTAGCAGTACTCACAGGCCAGACAAGGCCTGTGGTGGCGATGCCTCCAGCCCCAGTTAGAGAGATGCTCCTTACTAGTCTGTCACTCCGTGAGCACACCACTGACCAGGAGGGAGCAGCCTCAGGGCACCGCTGGACTCTGGTGGTATGTGGTCTTGGTGTCTCGGAAGCTAAACGTAAAGTCAGAACTCGGAAAGAAGCTAGCAATAGCTAAGAAGCTGCAGCAGCTTGTGGGGCTCGTGTTCTTGAAGCGCACCTACCACCCAAGTGAGCTTCGGAACGTTCCAGCTCTCTGACGGCCCTTCCCACTTGGGAAAGCTGACCTCCCGCCTCCCTGATTTATTTGTGTGCTCTGACATCCGTGTCTGTGTGTCCTCCTTGACGTTTATCTGTCAGGTGCATCATACTGTCACTTGGGACAGCTTTTTCTTTGTTGTATAGTGTTCTGTTGTAGAAGTATGTACATTGTATTTATTCTGCTATTTTGGGACATTCCAGCTCAGTTTTTATGTTTTGCTTGTATAAATATTGCTGTCTGGAACATTTTTGTGTATGTCATGGCAGCCTCTAGCCTACATGCTTACTGCCCTGGGAGTGGATCCAGCAACTGTGGGAATAATAGGCCAGACATCCCATAATCTCTGTATACCTTTGGGAAAATTTATTTTTTTTGGGAGGGGGGAGAGAATTGATTTCTTATCTTGCTCCCAGAGTCACCCCAGGAGTCTCTCCCCTGTTCTCTGGCCACTCAGAACTGTGGAGGAAGCAAGTCTCGATGTCTGGGTCCAGGAAGATGCTTCCCAATGGGTGCCTGCTCACTCAGATGGTGTCTAATCTGCTGCTACCATATGTGTCTCTTCTGTTATCAGGAAGCAGAAAACTTGGTGGCCACAGTGGTCCCCACTCACCTGGCTGCCGCTGTGCCTGAAGTGGCAGTTTACCTGAAGGAGGCTGTGGGGAACTCCACACGAATTGACTATGGCACAGGTATCTGCTGCTGAGGGGCTCTGGGTGATTGGGGCCTTGCTGCTTTCTCCATGTTGCCTAAGCTGCTCTCTCCGACTTCCATACAGCCTTGGGGGCCTCTGAGCAAGCAACAGTTTGTCAGGCCCCGCTCCCCACCCCCTCTGTGTGTGTGCGCGCGTGTGTGCGAGTGCGTGTGCAGAAGGATCCGTGTGGGTATGGGTTTCAGCAGTGTTGGGAGGGATAATGATTTCTGGCTCTATCTTATTCCACCAGGTGGCGCTACTGCCACAGGCATGGCACCTGCTGAGAGTTGATTTCAGTTCTTGGTGAAGCTGGCTTCTGCTTAGGCGCCTCATCACTCTAGAGATAGTTTATTGAGCACTTACTAAAGGCAGCTGCCTAGAGAAGAAAAACCTTTGAAAGCCCACTCTCTCCCGCATATCTCTTGTCTCAGCCATTTTTTTTTGTGCTGATGATCTTTGGCTCTCTTATCCATTTTGGCCAAGCTGTTGAGGGCACTTTAAAGAGAAATGACTTTTAGGTTGGGATAACCTGTATAGCCCAGAAGACCCCTGTTGTCATAAGGGCTTCCTTTCCTCTTTTCCCTAAACTAAGCATTTGAGAGATGTGCTGTCTCCCACTTAGTTGGGGAAGGAGAGCCAGAGAGAGCCCAGTGTCAAGAGCAGGCCCTGGGGAAGGCTGGAGGCAGAGCCTTGGAGAACCTTGTCCTTTGTTCCTCTTGCTGCTGGCAGCAGTTGGGAGACCCTGGGATATGGGGGGCTTTGATTAATCCCCAACTAGGGGATGGTTTCTAGGGCAGTGTGGTACCCTGGCTGTCATTTGGAGATTTACAGGTGAACATAACTGAGCGTCTGTGCATCCGTATCTGGTAACTGTCTATCCTGCAGAAATGGCTTGAAACACCTGGCTACTTCTCCCTCCAGATGTCTTACCACATAAGGAACAGGGTCCAGGGTCTCACCAGTGCTTTGCGCAGAGCTGACTGTTACTGGTGGATGTGCCGGGGAGAGAGGCAGGTCCTTCTTACCTTGTGATCTATCCTCAGTGCTTGTGCAAGCTCTAAGCATGGCTGTTAGATCCATGTAGTCAGAGCTTCCTTCTGTGCTGTCTGCCGGAGACATGCTGATCACTTACCTTGGGCCTTTGTATGCTGTTACTTTTGGATAAAATGATTTCCTACTGCCCTTTTTGCTGGCTATCTCCCATTCCTCTTGCATTTCAAACATTATTTCCTTAGGGGAATACTTTGAACTCTGAAATTAGGGTTCCCCTAGGATGTGCCTCAGTTACCCACCAGTCTCCCAAATAGATAAACTCAAAGTAGTGACTGTATGTTTAATATTTACTGACTGTGATCTCTGACAAATGATGGGCTTTAAGCCAAGGGCTCCTTTGTCACTGGGATCCAGCATGGACAGTGTCTGACCACATAGCAGGTGCTTAGCAAGACGGGCTTTGTAATTTGTCAAACCCATAGAGTAAGATGCAGGTGCCTGTGCAGGACGTCGCCAGCAGGCTCGTCAGGAAGAGAGCCAGGGCTTCTGGACTGGGAGGAGGTCTCCTCCACAGTATGGGCCTTCTGGCTGAGTGCTGAGGGACTTCTAGAACATGTCAGCCTGGGACATTTTCTTCCCCAGGACATGAGGCTGCCTTTGCTGCTTTCCTCTGCTGTCTCTGCAAGATTGGTGTGCTCCGGGTGGACGACCAGGTGGCTATTGTCTTCAAGGTGTTTGATAGGTAAGTCACCTTGGAGGGGAGGATGTCATACCTGGTGTTCACCATGTGGAGGCGCTGTTCTTAGGTTAATTTTCACAACTTTATGCAGTAGCAGCTGCCTGCCTCTTATAGAAGGGGAAAGAGACAGGTGTCTGCTGACACTGCTGACATCACAGTCCACCAAAGACAGGAGGCACTCTTCTGGGCAGCGCATGTGTGCAGGGACCTGCTCTGAGCTGAGCAGCCCTTGGGACACACTGCTGTCCTGGTGTTGGCACACCACCAGCTCTGTAGGTGACCCATGTGCACAGCTTCTGATTTCTGACACCGGGGACCTCACCCACTTTCCAGTGGTACCTGAGATTAGAGAAAGGGACTCCTGCCCAGGCTATTACAGGTTGCCAGGGTTGATGACACTAAGCCTGGTTTCCAGGTGGTGATTTGTCCCTCTCCCTGACAGAAGACATCAGAGGGCAAAGGAAAAAAGCCTCTTGACTCTTTCAACTCCCCATTCTCCATACCCTTCGTGTGCTGAAGAATGCCATTCCTCACCGTTGTCTCCTTTCTCTCCGCCCTTTCTACACAGGTATCTTGAGGTTATGAGGAAGTTGCAGAAGACATACAGGATGGAGCCTGCAGGCAGCCAGGGCGTATGGGGTCTGGATGACTTCCAGTTCCTGCCCTTCATCTGGGGCAGCTCACAGCTCATAGGTACTAGTGAGTGGTCACATCTCCACCTTGTACCCCATGGGTGCAGCTGTGCTCCCCAAGTCCCTCCTGTTCTCTTCCTCCTGCCCAGGACACACAATGACAGATTGTAGAGCAGAACATTAGACCAGCTTAGACCAGCTATTGATGGAGGTTGTTTGCTGTCAACTTAATGCTTTGAGCCAGTGTGGCCAGCTAGAGGAGTTCATGGTGGGATACCACCAAGATACTGGAAAGTGACGTGGAGGGGAGCCAGGGCCACTGTGCCTGCCGCAGGATAGACCAGGTGAATGAGCCAGCTCCTGGCAGCAGCTGTGGGGTTCACAGTGAAAATTCGGGGCTTTTTTGATCATTAGTGTCACCTACTAACTGCTGGAGTGATGGGACTCTGTGCAGGGGTACAGGCGAGTTGCTGCCACGTGCTTTTGCTGTGTGCTTCCCAGGTGTGCTCTGTCACGCTCCACACTGAAAAGGATTGTCCAGACATGGTCAGCATCTTGGGATCTGCCATTGGACGGGTTACTGATCCCTTTAGTTCCATAGAGAATGAACTGCTACTAATTAGTACTCAGATACCCAGTGGCTGAGAACTTGCCATTCTAGGCACTTTCCCCTACAGTCTTCTCAGAGACTCCAGGACACCATGGCACTGTGGCATGTGCTTTCCCACCGTGATGTCTTTCTGACACAGCCACTAGGGGGACTTTTTTTTTTTCCTGGCTGGCCTGGAACTAACCTATCTTCGTATGCTGAGAGTAAAGGTATATATCACCATACTCAGCTGAGGTAACTTATTTCATGTATATGAGTACACTATAGCTGTCTTCAGACACACCAGAAAAGGGCCTCTGATTCCATTACAGATGTCTGTGAGCCACCATGTGGTTGCTGGGAATTGAACTCAGGACCTCTGGGAGAGGAGTATAACTTTTAAGGTAGGCGTACACTCTCTAATGATGCTTAAACAGCAGAGGCTGGTACTGACAAGCCAGGAGCAGAGTCACTGCCATGGTTGAGTGGATGCCCAAGTGTGTCTGTCATCTCTGCTGATTGGCAGCACGTCAGATGTGTGTGTGCCAGTGTCACCACTGATACATGCATGGTAGCTGGCTGTGTACAGTAAGCATCTTGCTAGGTGACAAGGAATTCTCAGACCCATTATGATCTTTTTGCACTAAGCAGGGACTCTACCATTGCTCTATCACAATGTCATCACAATGGTTGTAAAATGTCTGCGGTAGGGACCTTGTGCTGAGGCTGGGTCAGGGCTGTTCTGAAGCCCAGGTCTCTGCTTTTCCCAGACCACCCCCACTTGGAGCCCAGACATTTCGTGGATGAGAAGGCAGTGAGTGAGAACCACAAGGACTACATGTTCCTCCAGTGCATCCTGTTCATCACTGAGGTGAGGGCTATACCGCCTTTGTTAGGCAGCCTTGGCCACTGGGGCCCTCTTGCCCAGCCACCAGCCTTCTCCCAGATGCAGGGGGACTCTTTCATTGTTAGGTTTGAGTTGGATCTTCACTCTGCTGCCCACGCTGGCCTTAAATTGATGATAGTCTAACTGCTTCAGCCTCCTGACTGCTTGGGATTAGAAAATAAGCCACCACACTCAGCTCCCATGGGGCTCTTGGGCTGGTGGGTTAATGTAGTTGTTAGCTAGAGTTGGTGACCCGGCAGCAGGCCTAAAAGGGTGCCATACATTATGATGGGGTGCAGTGAGGTTAGAGGTTATGGACTCAGGTTGAAATCCCTAGAGGAGCTGAAGTGCTGGGAGCAGTTCTGTCTCTATACCTCAGCAGTGTTTGAGGGGTGAAAACAAGCAGCCTATGGTGGCAGTCACTGGGCCCACACCACCTGGCACGTTCCCTAACTGGAAGCTCTTGTCTCACTGGGGCAGTATTCCCTGTAGTATGGTGCTGGAACATTCCCCAGAGATGGCCCAAGGAGTCTGAAAATTCATGGCTTTGGGTCCATGCCTGCTTTCTCGCTCAGAATCTTGTGGACAAGAGCCAGGAGCTCATCAAGGGACCCACAGTATCAGGGCCTTGCTTCCAGGAGGTGTCAGAACTTTTCATTCTCTCTGCCTATACTATCAAGTCTCATTCCAAGTTTACACATTCCTGGCTTCTCTTTCCATGCCCCTTGCATGTTTGCCCTATGGAATTACACGTGGTCTCCTGCTCCTGGATGCTACTCTCTCGGCTCTCTGTTCTGAGTCTCTTAACAGGGGAAAGCCTAGTTAGCAGCCTTGACTCTAGGTTCCTTCTGGTCAGCATTTGCCTCAGGGTTTTGCCAAGCTCTAGGGGCCAGAGGGGAATGACACATTTTTTCCAAGTCAGCAAATGGAGCCAGGACTGACGGCTGGGCAGCCACTGCTTGGTTCTTGGAGATCTGCTGCCTTCAGCAGTGTGGCAGACTCAAGGTCAGAATGACTGGGGGTAGCCTGGCTCACTGCCTTGAAAGACAGCTTTGCAGGACTTCAGCGTGCAGTGAGGGCTGGGGAGGCTTTAGGGTGAGAGGGAAGGACCGGGCGGGAAGGAGCCACAGATTCTGCAGAGCTTGATGCTTGAGGCAAAAGCCTAAGCTGTTACTGCTTCCTCTGGCGGCTGGCCAAGCCCCTTACGTCCCTGTCAATAATTCTAACAAGGAGGCTAGCCAGGCTGGGCTTCAGGGACTTGGGATCGATCTCATGCTAAGATTTAGTGTGTGTGTTTGTTTCTGCTGGTATAAAACCCCAAAACCTTTCCCAAAATTTGGAATGGAGGACCCCTTAGAAGGTAGTCCAAATAACCACAAGGAGGCGCTAAAGTGAGCTGAACTCTGGAGGCTTCAGTAATAGAGGTAGGAAGTGGGAGGGGTAGCTTTTGGTTGTTGTGCACCTTCTATGCAAAGCTTGTTTTCTCTTGGTTTCAGGCTCTTGGGTCAGTCAAGCTCTGGTTGGTTGCTAGGCGCTGTGGTAGCAAGGGCATGCTGCCTGCCTGGGTTGGGCAGTTAGAGGGCCCTGCTGCTGCCGTTGTTGCTGACAGATAGATAGAGAGATGGATACTAGATATCTCCCCACCCCTGCACTTCATGACGTTGGCAGCTTTCATTTATAACATCCATCAGTAAGCAAGTGGTCTCATCCAGACCCCAGGGCACAGAAGCCTACAGGATGTCCAGGGCTTTTGGTCAGGGAGACCTGCAGTTTTTACTGGTCAAACCAAACCCAAGGAGGTTGGGAAGGAAACCACTTCTCTTTGCTGGGTCTTGTGTCAGGATTGCTTTGATAGCCCTGGGCATGACAACAGAGGAAGCCTACCTTGTAGGGCTCCTACTGCTTCAGGAAATGTAGTCCTGGCGCCTTTAAGAGCCTAGGGCAGGCAGGAAAAGAATTTCAGTTTCAATCTGGCTTCTAAATTTGGAGTTTTGGGAAGGGAGGGATCAGATTTCAGCTGGAAGGGAAGGAGCTGACAGGAAGGCGCTGTGCTGAGCCTCCCCCACCCCGCCCATCCCCCTCAGTTACTGACAGAGGAACCATTTACAAAAGGCCGATTCTCTGGGGAGTGGAGAGGCAGGAACGCAGCGTCTGTGAGTAATTTCCTGCTCAATATGGCTGCTCTGACTCACACGATTCCCCTGAGGTCACTGCGGGACTGCAGTTGCTTGCTTGTTCTCGCTCTTTCTCTTCTCCCTTTGTGGCTAAAATGAGCTAATTTTTTTTAAAAAAATTATTATTTTTTTTTATTTTGGTTTTCTTACCCCCAATTTCTTTTTTTCACCTCTTTTTTTTTGTTTGTTTGTTTGTTTGTTTGTTTGTTTGTTTTTTCCTTTCTCTGAGTTGGAGAACCTCCTTCTGAAGGACGTGGGAGACCTGAGGCCCTGAAGGCCTTGAGGGTGTGGTGGCCTCTCTAGGAACATAACTGGGCTACACAACTTGGGCCTGCTCTAGCTCTGCAGCCTGCCAGACAGTCCTTTCTGAGGTCCCTTGCCCTCAGGCAGGGTCTCATCATCCCTTTTTCTGTCCCTGTGTTCTTGAGGAGCTGACGCTGGAGCACCTGCTGTGACAAAGCAGCTGGTGATTTGCACAGGGGCTTTGTAGGGGACCCTGTTTCATAGTCCAGCCTGCAAGTGTGCAGAGTCAGAGTGGGGAAGGAGAGAGACTGAGGGCAGAATCTTTGCAGGAGTGTTGGGATAAATCTCAGGAAACTGAGGGGACTGTAAACTTTGGTGCCTGTGGTCAGGGAAAGACTCCACAAATGCCTGGTAGGGAACTGGGCAGGCTTTGGAAACCTCCCGTCCTCAACACTGGGGCGGAGCCACTGAGATAGGTTCTCTCATTGGTGATTTTTGCCAGGCGAGAGAAGTGATACGGAAAAATGGTAGCATTTCTAATTTATATCTAGACATTGCCCTTACTGAACTAGAGGCCTGTGGGAGTATGGACCACCAGGTGAAGCCACAGCAGTAAAGTGGCCTGTGATGTCCTTCTGTGAAGAAAGTTTGGGCTTATCCTTTTTCCAGGAACTAGCCCCTACCTCACCCCCACTTTCATGTGTAGCTTCTTCTGGAACCTTACACTCACTATGGTCCTTATCAGACTCACCAAGCTTTTCCGTCTTTGTCTGTAGTGTGGGATGCTGAGCCCTGCTCCCCAACATAGATGCTGCCTGGAACCTGGGAAGGGGGTGAGGTGGGCGTGCTGAGCTGCATTCCTGATAAATAAAATGTACTGGCCTGGTGCTCTCACTGGCATATGCATTCAGGACACGGGGTTCCCTCGCCCTGTTTTGGGCTGAGGCTCTGAGGCCCTGGGAACTGCACTGTGCTGCTGAGGGAGTGCAAGGACTGCACTGTCGGGCTCACCTGTGCCCGCTCATCTTGCTGCTGTGGCTTTTTCCACCCTACTCTTGACCTTGCTAAACAAACTTTTCTCCTATACTGTTCTGGAGCCTCCCTGTCTACTATGCAGAGGGCCAGATCCATCAGGGCCCTCCATGGTCCCTTTCCTGTCCTACAGAGTGGGGAAGGGAGCCTGGCTGCTGTCTGGATGGCAACACATTCTACTCTCTCAGGGTGGAGATTGTCTCTCCCTAGGGTTGCTAAATTTGATAGGTATTGGGAATGGAGCTTCTGTTCTGTCTGTGTGAAAGAGGTAAGCAGAGGGTGGGGGTGGGTGAAAGAGGTTATATTTTTTGTAGCAGCTCTTGTAGGCCAAGTGTGTGTGTGTGTGTGTGTGAGTCCGTCCGTCCGTCCGTCCTCTGCCTCTCTAGTTCCTGGACTTCTTTTCCAGATGAAGACCGGCCCCTTTGCAGAGCACTCCAACCAGCTGTGGAACATCAGTGCTGTCCCCTCCTGGTCTAAAGTCAACCAGGGCCTCATTCGCATGTATAAGGCAGAGGTGAGTGGGGTCTGGCCAGCCTAATGGCTGCCCCTGATGACACTTGGTCCTGAGGGTGAGCTCAGGACTTCTGATTCTTCATCACATTGTTTTGCTCTGGCTCTTGGCCCAGCTGTCTGAAACCTGGGGACCTCAGAGCCTGATGGATGGGCAGAGGCCCAGCTCATTTCTTCATAGCCTGTGCTGCTGGAGAAGTTAGGGGCTCTTCGTCCCTGTCAGGAGGCAAAGCTCTGATAACCTTAGTGCCTCCCACAGTGAGTAGGACATCAAACGTGGGACAGGGTAACTCTGCTGCTGGGAAAGATGCTGGGCTGGGGAGCTCCCTGCTGAAATGTGCCTGCCTTCCTAGGGCTTCCCGTACTCTCCACAGAAGGGAGAGTATGCCCTTTCTACCTGTTTACCTGGCCCTCCAGTATCTAGAGCTACTTGACTTTGGCTTTTTTGAGCTGTGAGATCCAAACGTGTCTCTCCCACTCCCGTCCCCAGCCCAGCATGTGCCAACAGTCTCAGTGTTGCCCTGGAGCAGCCCCTTTCTGATTATTGACCACCACCCAGTCTATGAGAAGGGGTCTCGTTCACAGAGCTCAGAGCTCACCTTATCCGTCCTCAGAGGCGGGACCACGAGGAAGGGACAGCTGGATTTGGTAGTGCAAATGTTTCCCACTGGCCTGGCACCCTTGGACTTGGCCTTGACAGGGTTAATAAAGCGTGATCTACCAGGTTTGGGCTTGGGCCTGGCTAGCTTTTTCCATTCTCTCCTTGATCCTCTTCCTCTAGGTTTACATCCTATGTTTAGGCTTCAGCCCACATACCTCTGTCATCTGGGAGGCCATTCCTGGAGCTGCCCAGACCTCTTCCTGCTCTACAGGCTGGCCCCAGCATCCCGGCACCACCTACCCTTGGTCGTCGTCCCCACAGCCTTACTTCTGCTGATCCCCAGAGTGTCAGCTAGGAGGGTATACAGCACCCCCACATCAAAGGCAGGACTCCAGTGCCTTCTTGCTTAGAGTCTGAAACTTTGTCCCCCTTTCAGCGGCAGAAGATCTGCAGGCTGCGGGAGGGAAGAGCGTACAAGGTGCAGGCCTTGGAAGCCATGTCCTAAGATCCTTAGGTCCTAAAGGCGTTGCTGTGTCTCCCTGCAGTTACTGACTGAAAGGATGTGTGACTAGAGACTGGACATTTCACCCGATGCATGCCGAAAGTGGGAGCCGGCCCGTGCCACAGACCCAGGGTGGATCTGTAGGCTAACTCTGCCACCTGCAGAGAGGCATGAACATCTCGGGGCTGTGTAGCACCCAGGCTTTTTGTTTTGTTTTTTGAGACAGGGTTTCTCTGTGTAGTTCTGACTGTCCTGGAACTCACTCTGTAGATCAGGCTGGCCTTGAACTCAGAGATCCTCCTGTCTCTGCCTCCCAAGTGCTGGGATTAAAGGCATGTGCCACCACCTCCAGGCAATATACCCAGTTCTTACTGGTGCTTTTATTCTCTAGTCCCTGAGTATAGGGCACTATAAGCCCCCTGCTCAGAGGGCCCAGGAAAGAACCTACTTTTTCAGCCTAGTTCTCCATCCACAGGGAAGACCCCTGAGCTGCCAGCAGGGGTTTGATCAGGCATGGTGCCATGTCAGGCAGCCTCAGGATATGCAATTAGCTGTTGAGTTCCCTGACCTGGTTCTTTGAGGAGAAGTATCAGGGGCTTTCTGGGCCTTGTGTGATAGGGATCTTTCTACAAGGAAGGCTATCACCATACCTGGACTTCTCTCCTCGAACTACCCAGCCTGGACTCTGTACTGGGTTAGGAAGTGCCAGGTTTCTAAAGCCCAGGACAATTGCTGGACAGGATTGCTGGGAGAAAAGCCCTCCTAGATGTTTCTGCTGCCCTGGGGCCTTGGACTTTCTCCACCCCAGCAGCTTCTTACCAATGTAGCTCCTGCTTATCCTGTGGGCCCTTCCCCCACTTGCCTTTCTGGCTTTTCTTCTGTGAGAGCCTGAGGCAGGTTGACCTTTGACCCTTTCTGGAATTCCAGCCCCTGGGGGTGGGGGTGCCTTCCAAACACCCACCACTTCCTGATGACCTAAGCACCGGCAGCTGCCTTGCCTCAGGCCTGGACATGCTGCTCCTCCCCCAGGACAGGCTGCACCTCCTTTTTCCCCACTTTGCTCAGGCCTGGCTCTATACCAGAGTTCAGTCTCTCTCTGTTCCACTTGCTCCTGTATGTGCCCCTACTTCTTCTGAAGCTGCTTCCTGGGGTGAGGGAAGGTGAGCCCATCAGATTAGCCCTTTGACACAGCTAGCCAGGCCCTCACCTCTGAGGCCCTAAGTCTCCTCCTCCTACAGGTCCCAAGCACATCGAGGGTTGTTTAGGACGAGGCCAGGCCACCCTCACACCCTGGCTAAGGCTACTGCCTGGGAGACAGAGCAAGCCAGTAACAGGCAAAGAAATATAGTCTGTGGGCCTGGGCTCAGGCTGCCAGGGGTCTGAACTGGGCTCAGGGAGTCCCCATTCCTTTGCCTGCCAAAAGTGTTATTGCCTCGAGTTCCACAGGGGCTGTGCCAGGGTAGGGCAGGGGTGTCAGCCTACTCCTATTGTCTCACTCTGAAGTGTCGAGATGTCCTTTGAGGCCAAAGACTACAGAAAGTAGGCCCTAGCCTCTTCTCAGTTGTGGTCAGATGTCCCCATACCACTAGGGTGAGAATTGGGCTGGGGGTTGTGGGTGGGATCTTTGTCATTTCTTATGGCTCGCTTTTCTTCTGGGTCAAGTGATGTCTCTTAGCTCCCTGTCTTGGCTTCTACTCGATGCGTGCCTTTGAATGGCAGGTGGGGACAAGGTGAAGGTGACAAAGATCACCTTCCTCCTAGGCCAGGGGCTGCTCTGACTAGGTGCTCTTGAGCACTGGTGGATTCCCACAGAATGTTTGTCTGGGTCCCCGGGGATGTAAGAGGCAAGACAGGCCTCACCTCCCTGGTTTCCCTCCTTTCTCAGTGCCTGGAGAAGTTCCCTGTGATCCAGCACTTCAAGTTCGGGAGCCTGCTGCCCATCCATCCAGTCACATCAGGCTAGGAGAGGCTGGTCTACCAGAGCCACCCTGGCCAGTTTCCTGTGCCCTCTCTGATCCAGCACCCCTTCCGCCCACCTTCTGTTCTTTCTGTTTGATGAGAGGCTGTTTACTGAGACGGGTGCTAAGTAGGGCCTGAGTTGGGGGAATTGACTAAAGTATGGCCAGTTTTTGACTGTCTGTCTGGTGGACAAGCAAGAAGAGAGGGACTTGGATGTGGTCCCAGGCCCCGCCCATCCCAGTGCTCCTGCTTCCTCTCCCTCCTGCCCAGGCCCATGTAGAGGAGACAAGGACATCCTGTTCTTCCCGTTGCTTTCCCTTTCCTCCCCATGATTGTGATGTCTCCAGGAGCGGGCGGGTGGGCGGTTTCCTGCCAGCCATGTTCCACTGGGTACCTACTATGGGGCTAGAGGGTGAGGCTGCCCTCAGCTGTGGGGAGGGTTGGGGTTGGGGGGGTGGCTATGCAGGGGCCGTGGATGATGAGGCTGGTCTTCTCAAGGTACCATCCTAGGCCCTGGGGGACCTGTGTCCATCCTCATGCTGGCTTTTGTTCCCTGGCCCTTGGCTTTGCTAGGTCTCCTGACTGTTAACATGGCATTCCCCTTTCTGGAGATAGCCTAGCTATGGAGGCTGCCCTGGGCTCCTGGGAAAGCCCATTGCTTGGGTGAGATCTGACTTTCCAGAACTGTTAAGCAGGGAGAGGTAGAGACCCAGGGAGACAAACTGTTGTGTCTGTGGAGAACCTCCTGTCCTCCAGTCAGTCTCAGGCCTACTGATTCTGCTGCCGCCTACCTGCTTTGAGTGGTCTTGAGCTTCACCTGAGGCCCTTGGCTTGCTGCTCTGCTCCCTTGGGTCGGTTTGTGGCTTGTGTAGGAGGGCAAAGAAGGCAACAGCCCTCTGCTCCCGCTTCCCTCTGTGAGACGAGGTAAGTGCTGCCTGGGCCTGGGCATACACTTGGAATGGGTAGGGCTGCTAAGGGGACCTAGCCACAGTCCCCTGCTTTCTCCCAGCGTGTGGCTGAACTGGTACCTGCAGGCTTCCCTGGCCCACTTAGCTTTTGTGGAGTGGACACTGAGAAGCACAACCCAGGGGCTTGCCCAAGGGTTAGCTATGATCTGGGTAGAGCTGGCACCGAAGTCATCAGAGTCACGGGCAGTTTCCCAGGAAAAGCCCAGTGCCAGCCTTCCTTCCAGGGCCAGGCCACTGCCTTCCTGGCTCCCTTCCCTGTCCCTGGGTCCCCAGCCCTGCGCCTTCCTTGCTGTTTGGATTAAAGCCTCTGTTTTACACCTGTCCCTTGTGTGACACATCTTTTCCTGACACGACTAAGTGGCTGTTCCCTAGCAGGTCTCCTTACCAGTTGACTTTCTGGGGATGGGATATGTGACAATGAGTGAAGCAGATCAGAGGGTTCAAATCCTAGCCACCCCCCTGCTCACTCCTAATAGCAAGGTTGTGGGTAAGTGTCTGAGCTACTCTGAACCCCAGCACCCTCATCTAGAAAATGGGTACAATCACAAGTGGCACTGGTGACCCTGAGTCTAGGCCTGGTTCAGAGCACATGCTGTGTTGTCACTGATGTGTGTGTACCTCCTGAGCCTGCCAGGCACGGGTCCTACGACCTGGCATGTGTTAAGCAGGAACCAAATGCCAGCCAAAGACGAGGCTGGCATTGAAACTTGAATCTGCAGTTGTTAGACATAGCCCTCTTTGTCCTTAGCCCACCTCTGGTCTGTTATGCTAGGGCTGAGTTCAGCTGTGCAGTGGGTCTTCCTAGACACCAGACAATCCTGAGAATAGGAGAGTAGGAGCTTTTCTGCTGTTCTGGAGGCTTTGCACAAAGGCAGGAAGAGGAGCCACAGCTCAGTCACTCTTCCTCTGGACATCCTTGGTTGCCCAAAGCCATGTCTCCAGTGTCCAGCACACTTGAATTCAGACCCAAGGCCAACTGCTTACAATGGAGGAAGTCCATGCTAGCTGACTTTACTGCTCTGAGCTCCAGTTTCTTGATCTGAAAAACAGGCACCATGGTCTAGCACTGTGGATCTCAGCCTTCCTAATGCTGTGGTCCTTTCTAGTCATAAAGTTATTTTCGTTGCTACTTCATAACTGTAATTTTGCTGTTATGAATTGTAATGTAAATGTCTGTGTTTTCCAGTGGTCTTAGGTGACTCCATGAAAGTGTCCTTTAGCCTCCAAAGGGTTGTGACCCCAGATTGAGAACCACTGGTCTGGAGGCTGAATCGTTTCACAGACAGTAGCTGTGTGTTTGTGGCCACAGTGAACTAGAAGACAACAGTAGTTTAGTGAGTTGTAATTAAGAAACTAGAGAGCCGAGCAGTGGTGGCGCACGCTTTTAATCCCAGCACTTGGGAGGCAGAGGCAGGCGGATTTCTGAGTTCGAGGCCAGCCTGGTCTACAGAGTGAGTTCCAGGACAGCCAGGGCTGTACAGAGAAACCCTGTCTCGAAAAACCAAAAAAAAAAAAAAAAAAAGAAAGAAAGAAAAAAAAAAGAAATTAGAGGAGGGGCTGCTTTCTGAGTTACACATAGGCGCATTGAAAGTTTTGATACTGTGTCTTAGTTGAGGTTTTAGTCTGTGAAGAGACACTATGACCACAGCAACTTTTATAAAGGAAAAATTTAATTGGTACTGGCTTCTAAGTTCAGAGGTTTCATGCTTTATCTTCATGGCAGGAAGCATGGCAGCATGCAGGCAGACATGGTGCTGGAGAAGGAGCTGCGAGTTCTGTATCTGCATTAGCAGGCAGCAGGAAGAGAGTGACACTGGGCCTGGCTTGGGCTTCTGAAACCTCAAAGCCCACCTCAGTGACACACTTCCTCCAACAAGGCCCAGCTCCTAATAGTGCCACTCCCCGTGTGCCTGTGGGGGCCATTTTCATGCAGACCACCACACTATGACTCAGGGTTTTCTATAAAGTTAATACCTGGAGCAGTGCAGTTGTGTTTAGAAAGTGTCTTGGTCTGAAGCCATCTTCTAGGGTTATCCATGGGCACCTGCCTGCACTTAGGTGCACACATTCACACCCAGATGCGTATGATTAAAAATAAGGGCCGGGGGATGAAGAGGTGGATCAGTGGTCGAGAGCACCGGCTGCTCTTCCAGAGGACCCAGGGTCAATTTCCAGTCCACACATGGCAGCTCACAGCTGTCTGACTCCAGTTCCAGGGAATCCAGCACCATCACCCAGACATGCATACAGGCAATAAAGAAACATATAAGCAATTGAATGCATGAGGCTGGGCCTGGTGAGGGCTCAGACTAAGGTCCAGAAGCTTCAACGTCAGGTTTGACTCCTAGCACCTACATGGGGCTCACATTTGGAACTCCAGTTCCAGGGTATCTGATACCCTCTTTGGGTAACACACAAACATACATGCACATGAAGCACTCATACACATAATAACTTTTCAAATGAAAATAAGGGGCCAGAGAGATGGGTCAGTGTTTAAAGTCACTTGCTAATCTCACAGAGGACCTGTGTTCAGTTCCTAGCATATACACTGCTCATAAATTTTGAGTTTCAGGGTGATTCGGTGCCCTCTTCTGGCCTTCAAGGGTACTACACAGGTGTGCTTACATGCACACAAAGCACAAACTTGTTTTTTGAGACGGGGTCTTTCCATAGCACTGGCTGTCCTCAAACTCACAGAGACCTGCTTGTTTCATGTCTGCCGAGTGCTAGGATTAAAGTGTACTATCATGCTAAGCTAATAAAAACAGACCTTCAAAATAAAATCTTTTTGTGTATGTGTGTGGGGTAGTTTCAGACAGGGCTTCTCTGTGCAGCCCTGGCTGTCCTGGAACTCTGTAGACCAGGCTGGCCTCAAACTCAGAGATACACCTGCTTCTGCCTCCTGAGTGCTAGAATCAACGGCATGTGCCACCACCACCGGGCAGAACTTTAAATCTCATTTTTAAAAATGTGTTGAGACTGTCTCTCCTGTATCCCAGGCTGCTTCAGATAAGCAGCTGAGGAAAATCTTGGTGAACTCCTGATCATCCCATGTCTGGCCACTCAGGGTTGGGATTAGAAGCATGCACCACCATTTGCAGTTGTGGAGGTGCAGGGGACAACAGGGTTTTGTGCATGCTAGGCAAGCACTCTGCCCACTGAGCCACCACACCTTGAGATACGTTTATGTTTGCCGTTGAGTATGCATGAATAGACACCTTGAAGGAAGTGGAGGTAAGTCCCCAGGAGAGCTAACCATGGTGTGGCTGTAGGCTCCAGGAGCTTGCGGTTTGGTTTTAGTTTGAAGTGTAAGAATCCTGGGGTGAAAAAAAAAAAAAGAAAGAAAAAAAGCCGGGCGGTGGTGGCGCACGCCTTTAAGCCCAGCACTTGGGAGGCAGAGGCAGGCGGATTTCTGAGTTCAAGGCCAGCCTGGTCTACAGAGTGAGTTCCAGGACAGCCAGGGCTACACAGAGAAACCCTGTCTCGAAAAACCAACCAACCAACCAAAAAAAAAAAGAAAAAAGAAAAAAAAAGAATCCTGGGGTGAGGTACGTGGGTATCCTGTTTGGGAGTCAAAAGCTGTGTTTGGCCCAAGGATAGGGTTGGCTGAGAAGTAGTCCAGTTGGGTGAGTGAAGGAAGTTCTTGGCTTGAATAGCTTGACTGTTCCTGGTAGGAGGAGAAGGGAGTACCCAAGGTGATGTATACCTTCTAAAAGTGTGGGGAGGAGGAGCTGAGTCCCTGCTCCACCACTGGGTGAGGCAGTCAGGGAGCAGTTGTCAAAAAGATCAGATATAGCCAGCAGACCCTTGCCAGGTGTGAGCAGTGCCCAAGGAGAGGCAGGGGAGAAGGCTCTGGTGGCAGAGCAATGGCCTTCACCCTTGCTGAGGACTGCTTCCCTGTAGCAAAGGCAAGTGCTGGGGGTGGGGACCTGGGGACTGGGAGCAGGAAGGTGAGATTGCCCGGCCCTGGGCAGTAAGCCCACAACTCACAGTGTTCACTAGACAGTCTAAAAGCCTCCTGAATCAGGTTAGTCAGTGCTTTCGGAGGAAGGAAGAGTGTGTAGCACGGCAGTGTGTACTCATGCTACCCTGAACGCCACAGCCTGTCTGCATGTAGGATAGAAGAACCTGTGGGTGGGTGACACTGGAGTCCATGAAATTCATCATAGGAGATGCTGGAGGGCAGAGGAGAGATGGAGTAAA